ACTGATAATCTCCCTCGATCTGGGGCTCCACGCAAGATCTCACCCCGTGGGGTCAAAATTATCACAAGAACGGTGAGCAAAAATCCCAGAACCACACGGGGGTACCTAGTAAATGACCTGCAGAGAGCTGGGACAAAAGTAACAAAGCCTACCATCAGTAACAGACTACGCCGCTAGGGACTCAAATCCTGCAGTGCCAGACGTGTCCCCCTGCTTAAGCCAGTACATGTCCAGGCCCATCTGAAGTTTGCTAGAGTGCATTTGGATGATCCAGAAGAGGATTGGGAGAATGTCATATGGTCAGATGAAACCAAAATATAACTTTTTGGTAAGAACTCAACTCGTCGTGTTTGGAGGACAAAGAATGCCGAGTTGCATCCAAAGAACACCATACCTACTGTGAAGCATGGGGGTGGAAACATCATGCTTTGGGGCTGTTTTTCTGCAAAGGGACCAGGACGACTGATCCGTGTAAAGGAAAGAATGAATGGGGCCATGTATCATGAGATTTTGAGTGAAAACCTCCAATGCCTCCATCAGCAAGGGCATTGAAGATGAAACGTGGCTGGGTCTTTCAGCATGACAATGATCCCAAACACACCGCCCGTGCAACAAAGGAGTGGCTTCGTAAGAAGCATTTCAAGGTCCTGGAGTGGCGTAGCCAGTCTCCAGATCTCAACCCCATAGAAAATCTTTGGAGGGAGTTGAAAGTCTGTGTTGCCCAGCAACAGCCCCAAAACATCACTGCTCTAGAGGATATCTACATGGAGGAATGGGCCAAAATACCAACAACAGTGTGTGAAAACCTTGTGAAGACTTACAGAAAACGTTTGACCTGTGTCATTGCCAACAAAGGGTATATAACAAAGTATTGAGAAACTTTTGTTATTGACCAAATACTTATTTTCCACCATAATTTGCAAATAAATTCATAAAAAATCCAACAATGTGATTTTCTGGATTATTTTTTTTCATTTTGTCTGTCATAGTTGACGTGTACCTATGATGAAAATTACAGGCCTCTCTCATCTTTTTAAGTGGGAGAACTTGCACAATTGGTGGCTGACTAAATACTTTTTTCCCCCACTGTAGTTAAGCTGCTGCTGGCCCAGAAAAGAGCCGCACGTCTTGCTCTTCATTGTAATCAGAGGGCTAATATTAATACTATGCATGCCAGTCTCTCTTGGCTAAGAGTTGAGGAAAGACTGACTGCATCACTTCTTGTTTTTATAAGAAAGATTAATGTGTTGGAAATTCCAAATTGTTTGCATAGTCACTGACACATACACGTACCCCACCAGACATGCCACCAGGGGTCTTTTCACAGTCCCCATGTCCAGAACAAATTCAAGGAAAAGTACAATATTATACAGAGCCATGAGTGCATGGAACTCCCTTCCATCTTATATAGCGCAAATGAACAGCAATCCTGGTTTCAAAAAACAAATAAAGCAGCATCTCACGGCACAACGCCTCTCCCCCATGTGACCTACTTGTTGTGCACACACATAATATTCACACTACATGTTAATGTTTTTAAATGTATGTAAATTGTAAAGCGTTTTGTTATGTGTCGGACCCCAGTAAGACTAGCTGTCGCCATTGGCGTCGGCTAATGGGGATCCTAATAAACCAAATAAAATAAATTAAATCCCTACGGATTTGCAATCATACTCTGCTTCCACCGGGCATTCCACTGATTTCAAATCTCTGTCAACTTCTTCCATGACAACAACACTGTTGATCGCTGTTTCTTCCCCATCACTGTCATCAGAAGACTCTATAATGTCTGGTTCAATTAAAATGTTTTTACCTAAATCAGGGATTTCCTCATTGTCTGATTCATTTTCAGATTCAGAGAGAGTGAGCATAGCACGATGGTCCTCCAGAAAGTAGTCCATCACAACTTTTTCCCTCTGATCTTTGTCGATAGCGCCTGTTAAATTCAGGGCAGCAATGTTGAGAGCAATAGCAACACTTTTTCAGTTCTACATGTCTCAGCCAATCATGGCTAGCGGGAAGGTTCCTGTCTTTTTCTTTGGCAAAGCCAACTGGGCTCGTAATTTAACAATTGTATTCATATTTACCGATGGCATACACGTTTGTTATTTAGGCACATGAAAGTTCACGTTCCAGAAGGCATTTCTGCCAAATAAAAACATTTGTTTTTACATTCAAATGCCTCTCCTGTGAAGTAGCTTCATGAAACGGGTCACAATTCATTAACACCTCCCTAATTTGAACTGCAAACAGCCCCCATGGTTTAACAACACCCAACACCCCTCCCAATTTGCCAGTTACCCGCTGATATTCATAAAAGGGTATACCTGCAAATAAGTGGTAAATAAGGGGCTGTTTGAAAGGGTAACATACCACATCTTCTTTCTAAAATGTGTATGACGATAGACTAGCGAGTCCATGCCGCCAACCTCCAAATGTCCAGTGTCTACAGATAATAGCTCAGTATTGACCCCCTCTCAACTCTAGCACACACAAGCCTGTTTTACATACACACTGATTTTACCAGGGCTTGGAATTCTGACCCTTTTATACTAGACTGTGAACTCCTGGGTTGCCTCTGTTTAGTACATACAATCTGGGTGTGCAAAGAGAGGGCTGATGGGAGATGTGTTGGAGGAGCCCATTCCCCCCTTGACTATACCCTCCTCCCCAGTCTCCTGCTGGAGGCAGGGAAACATGCTTTATGCAAATTAGCCCGCATATATTTGCATAGCCATAATTAGGTAATTACAAATCGTTTGGCTATGAGATAAAGCATGTGCAGAGGACTAGAAGATTTACATCAGTCATTTTCTATTGTATTATCATTGTGTTAATGAATTACATGTAAACGGGGAAGGCATTATGACGTGTTATAGCATACGTTATTTCAGCATATGTTGTCTAGACCTACTGTATATGGATCCAATCAGTGTAAACCAAAAGGTTTCTCATTCTGAAGGACAAAAAAAAATCTGTATAAATGGAGGGAAAGAGGGGATAGAAAGAGGACAGGAGAATAAATACACAGACCTATTTTGAGTAGACTGTGTTGAAATCTGTTTTGAATTTATAGTGATTGCCATTATTTTCAAGAGTACACAATCAGTGTTGAGTATTTAAAGGTACCGTGATACTGGTTTCATTGGGTATCGCTGCTGTAAGTCACTTTAGATAAAGGTTTTTGCTACATGACAATTATTATTTATTACTAGGCTATTATTATCGATGGCAAACAATCAATTACAGAAGAAATGTAGGAAAATTGTCATTTACAGTATTTTAGCTTTGTCCAAAAATGCCCAATCAGTTTCGTAAATTAAACCCAGTACTTTTGTCTCATTTGAATTTCGTTTCTTAATTGATTTCATTTGGACTTATTTTACAATATTTACTCATCAGTGCATTCAGAAAGTATTCAGACCCCTTCACTTTTTCCACATTTTGTTACATTACAGCCTTATTCTAAAATGGATTACATAGTTTTTTCCCCTCATCAATCTACACACAATGCAAATGTATATAAAAAAAACAACTGAAATATCACATTTACATAAGGATTCAGACCCTTTACTCAGTACTTTGTTGAAGCACCTTTGGCAGCGATTACAGCCTCGAGTCTTCTTGGGTATGACGCTACAAGCTTAGCACACCTGTATTTGTGGAGTTTCTCCCATTCTTCTCTGCAGATCCTCTCAAGCTCTGTCAGGTTGAATGGGGAGCGTCGCTGCACAGCTATTTTCAGGTCTATCCAGAGATGTTAGATCGGGTTCAATTCCGGGCTCTGGCTGGGCCACTCAATGACATTCAAAGACTTGTCCAGAAGCCACTCCTGCGTTGTCTTGGCTGTGTGCTTAGGGTCGTTGTCCTGTTGGAAGGTGAACCTTCACCCCAGTCTGAGGTCCTGAGTGCTCTGGAGCAGGTTTTCATCAAGTATCTCTCTGTACTTTGCTCCGTTCATCTTTCCCTCGATCCTGACTAGTCTCCCAGTCCCTGCTGTTGAAAAACATCCCAACAGCATGACGCTGCCACCACCATGCTTCACCGTAGGGATGGTATTGGCTAGGTGATGAGCGGTGCCTCGTTTCTTCCAGACGTGACGCTTGGCATTCAGGCCAAAGAGTTCAATCTTGTTTCTCATGGTCTGAGAGTCCTTTAGGCGCCTTTTGGCAAACTCCAAGTAGGCTGTCATGTGCCTTTTACTGAGGAGTGGCTGCCGTCTGGCCACTCTACCATAAAGGCCTGATTTGGTGGAGTGCTGCAGAGATGGTTGTTCTTCTGGAAGGTTCTCCCATCTCCACAGAGGAACGCTGTAGCTCTGTCAGAGTGACCATTGGGTTCTTGGTCACCTCCCTAACGAAGGCCCTCCCCGATTGCTCAGTTTGGCCGGGCGGCCAGCTCTATGAAGAGTGTTGGTGGTTCCAAACTTCCTCCATTTAAGAATGATTGAGGCCACTGTGTTCTTGGGGACCTTCAATGCTGCAGAAATGTTTTGGTACCCTTCCCCAGATCTTTGCCTCGACACAATCCTGTCTTGGAGCTCTATGGACAAATCCTTCGAACTCATGGCTTGGTTTTTGCTCTGACATGCACTGTCAACTGTGGGACCTTATATAGACAGGTGTGTGCCTTTCCAAATCATGTCCATTCAATCGAATTTACCACAGGTGGACTCCAATCAAATTGTAGAAACATCTCAAGGATGATCAATGGAAACAGGGTGCACCTGAGCTAAATTTCAAGTCTCATAGCAAATGGTATGAATACTTATGTAAATAAGGTATTTATTTATTGTATATTTTTTGTCACTATATGGTATTGTGTGTAGATTGATGAGGAAATGTTTTATGTAATCCATTTTAGAATAAGGCTGTAACGTAACAAAATGTTGAAAAAGTGAAGGGGTCTGAATACTTTCCGAATGCGCTGTACATGTGGCTTTATATTTTCCAGAGTCGGAGGAGTCGTTTGAGTTCATCATCGTGTCTCTGACGGGCCAGATGTGGCATTTCGAGGCATCTACGTTTGAGGAGAGGGAGCTGTGGGTCACAGCCATCGAGAGCCAGATCTTTGCCAGCCTGCAGTCCTGTGAGAGCATGAAGAACAAGGTGGGCATGAGAGACAGTGCGTCTGTCGAGTCATGATTAGTTTAGTGCCAGGAATTTTTCCTGACCACGTGACTTGGCTAGGAAAATCTCTGGTTGCTAATCAGGATGTGTGAATGCAAAATTCTCTCTCTCCCCCCTCTCTCTCCCCACACCCCTCTCTCTTGCCCTCCCTCCCCTCTCTCTCTCTCTCCCCTCCCCATCCTTCCTTTCTCTGAGCTGCCATGTGTTGGGCTTTGTGTCAGACAGGTGCAGTGCAGCGTGAGGGAGCTCTTATTAGAGCTGACAGACATCAGAGATGGGAACACGGCCTGTGTCAGAACACAGGGGAGGAGATGCAAAGCAAAACCGACTCAATTTCATATAATACCCACTCTCTCTTCTCTCTCTCCCCCTCTCTCCCCCTCTCTTACCCTCTCTTTACCCTCTTTCTCTCTCAATGATCACCTGAACTTCAAAGCCTCCAGTCCTCCCTCCCCTCTCCCCTTCTGTTTCGTGATGTGTAACCAGCTGAAATTCTGTTTATTCTATTCTCTCACTGCAAAGTCATGATGCCTCACACACAGAGTCCCTCTTGCTTACCTGTTTATAACTTCTCTCTTCTCCCCCAAAGTCCCGGTTAGGCAGCCAAAGTGATGCAGCGTCCATTCAGTCCATAAGGAACGTGAGAGGGAACAGCATCTGTGTGGACTGTGATGCAGCCAGTGAGTACAGTACTTTCTCAACATCAGAGCTATATGTCAATGATTCCTAATACCTTACGTGCCAGGTATTGTGTATATAACATGATGTCTTCAGAATGCTATGGCCCAGATATCACCCTTGCTTATTAGTAACTAACATAGGGCTCATTTCGTTCCTCTCGTCCTCCTCCTTCTCTCCCAGACCCGGACTGGGCCAGTCTTAACCTGGGGGCTCTGATCTGTATCGAGTGTTCAGGGATCCACAGGAATCTGGGGACCCACCTGTCAAGGGTCCGCTCCCTGGACCTGGATGACTGGCCCGTGGGGCTCAGCATGGTGATGATGGCTATAGGCAACGCTATGGCCAACAGTGTCTGGGAGGGGGCCCTGGAGGGGTACACCAAGGTGGGCGCTGACAGCACCAGGTCAGTACCCCACATTTCTCTGTTAGTGTGTGTTTGTTTGCCATATGCCATTTGCCAGCTCTGTTGGAGGGATTTTGAAACAAACTGGTTGGAAATCCCCACATATTGAGCTGGTCTCCCCTAGAGCAGACCCTGGTTCCCACCCCTCCTTCTCCTCTCTGCTGGGGCACCCAGGTCTGGTCCCCTCTTCTCTCTCCCCAGTGAGGGTTGTTTGTCTCTGGGTGACAGTTGAGGCCCAGCGCAAGTCTCTGACTAATGACCCTGTGTGTGGATGAGCAGGTAATTAAGGAGCCCATTATGGTGTTTGAGCCCACCCCAGGGGCCAGGCCCCTGGCCCCAGAAGAGCCCTGTCATATATCTATCACACAGAGGCCCCCTATTACTCTCTCTGTCCCACTGTAGAAGACAGGTCTGTAGTGTATGTACTGTTGGTAACCTAAATTAAAAGAATATGTAAAGATATACTACTTAAGTGATAAACGGCTTGGTTTTTGATTTGCTGGTCTCATTGTTAAAAATGTTTGTACTGAGATTGTATAGTCATTTGAAATGAACATTTATCAGTAGGACAAGTGTGGATAGATAGACTGAAAGTCAATATAGTTGTATTGTAAATGTCAGTAGAGTTGTATTGTATCCCTGCACATTGTACATTTGGTATTGGTACTGACCACCTATATAGCTTCCTATCTTATTTATTGTGTTTTCTTTATTTTATATATATATATATATATATATATACAGTGGGGGAAAAAAAGTATTTAGTCAGCCACCAATTGTGCAAGTTCTCCCACTTAAAAAGATGAGAGAGGCCTGTAATTTTCATCATAGGTACACGTCAACTATGACAGACAAAATGAGAAAAAAAAATCCAGAAAATCACATTGTAGGACTTTTAATGAATTTATTTGCAAATTCTGGTGGAAAATAAGTATTTGGTCAATGACAAACGTTTCTCAATACTTTGTTATATACCCTTTGTTGGCAATGACACAGGTCAAACGTTTTCTGTAAGTCTTCACAAGGTTTTCACACACTGTTGCTGGTATTTTGGCCCATTCCTCCATGCAGATCTCCTCTAGAGCAGTGATGTTTTGGGGCTGTCGCTGGGCAACACAGACTTTCAACTCCCTCCAAAGATTTTCTATGGGGTTGAGATCTGGAGACTGGCTAGGCCACTCCAGGACCTTGAAATGCTTCTTACGAAGCCACTCCTTCGTTGCCCGGGCGGTGTGTTTGGGATCATTGTCATGCTGAAAGACCCAGCCACGTTTCATCTTCAATGCCCTTGCTGATGGAAGGAGGTTTTCACTCAAAATCTCACGATACATGGACCCATTCATTCTTTCCTTTACACGGATCAGTCGTCCTGGTCCCTTTGCAGAAAAACAGCCCCAAAGCATGATGTTTCCACCCCCATGCTTCACAGTAGGTATGGTGTTCTTTGGATGCAACTCAGCATTCTTTGTCCTCCAAACACGACAAGTTGAGTTTTTACCAAAAAGTTATATTTTGGTTTCATCTGACCATATGACATTCTCCCAATCCTCTTCTGGATCATCCAAATGCACTCTAGCAAACTTCAGACGGGCCTGGACATGTACTGGCTTAAGCAGGGGGACACGTCTGGCACGGCAGGATTTGAGTCCCTGGCGGCGTAGTGTGTTACTGATGGTAGGCTTTGTTACTTTGGTCCCAGCTCTCTGCAGGTCATTCACTAGGTCCCCCCGTGTGGTTCTGGGATTTTTGCTCACTGTTCTTGTGATCATTTTGACCCCACAGGGTGAGATCTTGCGTGGAGCCCCAGATCGAGGGAGATTATCAGTGGTCTTGTATGTCTTCCATTTCCTAATAATTGCTCCCACAGTTGATTTCTTCAAACCAAGCTGCTTACCTATTGCAGATTCAGTCTTTCCAGCCTGGTGCAGGTCTACAATTTTGTTTCTGGTGTCCTTTGACAGCTCTTTGGTCTTGGCCATAGTGGAGTTTGGAGTGTGACTGTTTGAGGTTGTGGACAGGTGTCTTTTTAATTATTATAATTATAAATTATTTTCCACCATAATTTGCAAATAAATTCATAAAAAATCCTACAATGTGATTTTCTATATATATATATATATATACAGTGGGGAAAAAAAGTATTTAGTCAGCCACCAATTGTGCAAGTTCTCCTACTTAAAAAGATGAGAGAGGCCTGTAATTTTCATCATAGGTACACGTCAACTATGACAGACAAATTGAGAATTTTTTTCTCCAGAAAATCACATTGTAGGATTTTTAATGAATTTATTGGCAAATTATGGTGGAAAATAAGTATTTGGTCACCTACAAACAAGCAAGATTTCTGGCTCTCACAGACCTGTAACTTCTTCTTTAAGAGGCTCCTCTGTCCTCCACTCGTTACCTGTATTAATGGCACCTGTTTGAACTTGTTATCAGTATAAAAGACACCTGTCCACTACCTCAAACAGTCACACTCCAAACTCCACTATGGCCAAGACCAAAGAGCTGTCAAAGGACACCAGAAACAAAATTGTAGACCTGCACCAGGCTGGGAAGACTGAATCTGCAATAGGTAAGCAGCTTGGTTTGAAGAAATCAACTGTGGGAGCAATTATTAGAAAATGGAAGACATACAAGACCACTGTGAAGCATGGGGGTGGAAACATCATGCTTTGGGGCTGTTTTTCTGCAAAGGGACCAGGACGACTGATCCGTGTAAAGGAAAGAATGAATGGGGCCATGTATCGTGAGCAATTATTAGAAAATGGAAGACATACAAGACCACTGTGAAGCATGGGGGTGGAAACATCATGCTTTGGGGCTGTTTTTCTGCAAAGGGACCAGGACGACTGATCCGTGTAAAGGAAAGAATGAATGGGGCCATGTATCGTGAGATTTTGAGTGAAAACCTCCTTCCATCAGCAAGGGCATTGAAGATGAAACGTGGCTGGGTCTTTCAGCATGACAATGATCCCAAACACACCGCCCGGGCAACGAAGGAGTGGCTTCGTAAGAAGCATTTCAAGGTCCTGGAGTGGCCTAGCCAGTCTCCAGATCTCAACCCCATAGAAAATCTTTGGAGGGAGTTGAAAGTCCGTGTTGCCCAGCGACAGCCCCAAAACGTCACTGCTCTAGAGGAGATCTGCATGGAGGAATGGGCCAAAATACCAGCAACAGTGTGTGAAAACCTTGTGAAGACTTACAGAAAACGTTTGACCTGTGTCATTGCCAACAAAGGGTATATAACAAAGTATTGAGAAACTTTTGTTATAGACCAAATACTTATTTTTCACCATAATTTGCAAATAAATTCATTAAAAATCCTACAATGTGATTTTCTGGTTTTTTATTTTCTCATTTTGTCTGTCATAGTTGACGAGTACCTATGATGAAAATTACAGGCCTCTCTCATCTTTTAAAGTGGGAGAACTTGCACAATTGGTGGCTGACTAAATACTTTTTTTCCCCACTGTAATTGCAAAAGGGTTTTCTAATGATCAATTAGCCTTTTAAAATGATAAACTTGGATTAGCAAACACAACGTGCCATTGGAACACAGGACTGATGGCTGCTGATAATGGGCCTCTGTACGCCTATGTAGATATTCCATAAAAAATCAGCCGTTTCTAGCTACAATAGCCATTTACAACATTAGCAATGTCTACAATGTATTTCTGATCAATTTGATGACATTTTAATAGACAAAAAAAAGGTTTTTCTTTCGAAAACAAGGACATTTCTAAGTGACCCCAAACTTTTGAACGGTAGTGTATATACACAATATATATATTATTATTTTTTATAATTTTTTATTAGTTATACTATTTTGATATTGATTACTGCACTGTTTGGTAGAGCATGCAAGTTAAGCATGTCACTGAACTTGTGCATTTGACAGTAAAACTTTAATTTATAGAAAACTAAACTAACTTGTAAATGTGCAGTAATCAATATCAATGTAGTACTAAAAATAACATTAGTTAGAACAAAAACACACAATAAATATAAATAAGAAGAACACGAGAAGTAAGTAAGCCATATACAGGGTTAGTACCAATAACATATTTACAATGTGCAGGAATACTGATAGAGGTAGATACAGTTGAAGTCAGAAGTTTACATACACTTAGGTTGGAGTCATTAAAACTCGTTTTTCAACCACTCCACAAATTTCTTGTTAACAAACTATAGTTTTGGCAAGTCGGTTAGGACATCTACTTTGTGCATGACAGAATACATTTTCCCAACAATTGTTTACAGACAGATTATTTCACTTATAATTCACTGTATCCCAATTCCAGTGGGTCAGAAGTTTACATACACTAAGTTGACCGTGCCTTTAAACAGCTTGGAAAATTCCAGAAAATGATGTCATGGCTTTAGAAGATTCTGATAGGCTAATTGACATCATTTGAGTCAATTGGAGGTGTACCTGTGGATGTATTTCTAGGCCTACCTTCAATCAGCCAAGACCTCAGAAAATAAAATTATAGACCTCCACAAGTCTGGTTCATCCTTGGGAGCAATTTCCAAACGCCTGAAGGTACCACGTTCATCTGTACAAACAATAGTACGCAAGTATAAACACCATGGGACCACGCGGCCGTCATACCGCTCAGGAAGGAGACGCGTACTGTCTCCTAGAGATGAACGTACTTTGGTGCGAAAAGTGCAAATCAATCCCAGAGCAACAGCAAAGGACCTTGTGAAGATTCTGGAGGAAACAGGTACAAAAGTATCTATATCCACAGTAAAATAAGTTCTATATCGACATAACCTGAAAGGCCGCTCAGCAAGGAAGAAGCCACTGCTCCAAAACCACCATAAAAAAGCCAGACTACGGTTTGCAACTGCACATGGGGACAAAGATCATACTTTTTGGAGAAATGTCCTCTGGTCTGATGAAACAAAAATAGAACTGTTTGGCCATAATGACCATCGTTATGTTTGGAGGAAAAAGTGGATAGCTTGCAAGCCGAAGAACACCATCCCAACCGTGAAGCACGGGGGTGGCAGCATCATGCTGTGGGGGTGCTTTGCTGCAGGAGGGACTGGTGCACTTCACAAAATAGATGGAATCATGAGGAAGGAAAATTATGTGGATATATTGAAGCAACATCTCAAGACATCAGTCAGGAAGTTAAAGCTTGGTCGCAAATGGGTCTGCCAAATGGACAATGACCCCAAGCATACTTCCAAAGTTGTGGCAAAATGGCTTAAGGACAACAAAGTCAAGGTATTGGAGTGGCCATCACAAAGCCCAGACCTCAATCCTATAGAACATTTGTGGGCAGAACTGAAAAAGTGTGTGCGAGTAAGGAGGCCTACAAACCTGACTCAGTTACACCATCTCTGTCAGGAGGAATGGGCCAAAATTCACCCAACTTATTGTGGGAAGCTTGTGGAAGGCTACCTGAAATGTTTGTGTGCAAAAGTAAAAAATAAAATACAAGGGTTAACTCAGATAGTCCATGTAACCCGTTAGTTAGCTATTTACCAGTCTTATGGCTTGGGGACAGAAGCTGTTCAGGAGCCTGTTGGTGTCAGACTTGATGCACCGGTAACGCTTTCCGTGCGGAAGCAGAGAGAACAGTCTATGGCTTGAGTGGTTGGAGTCTTTAATGATTTTCCGGGCCTTCCTTTCACATCCCCTTATTTAGAGGTCCTGGATGACAGGGAGCTCGGCCCAAGTGATGTACTGGGCTATCCGCATCACCCTCTGTAGCGCCATGTGATCGAGGGCGGGCTGTTGCCATACCAAGCAGTGATATAGACTCGTAGCGTGTGTGTGTGTTTTCTGTGTCCATAGAAAGATATCTTATCCCCTTCGATCCATTCTACCCAACTCTGGGCAGCTTTGAGTTGAGTGATGGTCCACGATTACGTATTGAATGGTTTGTGGGCTACAGTATTCCACCACAACTGGACTTGATGAAAGATTATTGATACTGATTCCTCTGTCTCACCTCTCTCACTGTTCCCATATCGCCCTGGGTAGGAATATTTTTCATTGTCACGAAAATCAAATCACATTCTGTTTGAGCGCTTGCATCTTTGTTTAGTCCGTCAAACAAATAACGATAATAATCTCATTATCATCATAGCTGATTTTCAGAGGAAATAAGTTGTTGTTGTTATCTCATAGGCAATCATTGATCGATGATTATTGAAATCCGGATATCTATTTTGCTTGACGAAAGAGGAATAATTTTTTATCAGAAATCTCATGAAGAAAGAGAATGCCATTATCTTGGTCCTGCTTCTATATAACCACAAAGCATCTATTGTATACATCTAGGAGACAAAAAGGTGAAAGAATATATTATCTCGCTTCTGATCCCAACCATATATATCTTACTTTGTTGTCTCATCCATACAGATTAAACATTAAGATTAAATATCAAGATCTCTATTGTCTCCACACTAGCTGCTCCCCTGGACTTAAGTGTTCTGATGATGTTAATTGTGTCACTGTGGTGACATGGAGCAGCTTTGTGATGGCACCCAGGCAGCTGGTGTAGCATTCCCACCCCACCTCCTACTAAACATTAGTGACACCTAATCTAAACGACTCAGTAACTAGCTGAAGATGAGCCTCACATCTGATTGAATGTCTCCTGCTACACTAGTTCTGCCCGGCTCGCATTTTGAAATGTTAACTTAAAAGGTGTTCATCCACAAGATTAGTTTAGCTTTTTAGAAATTCTTATGTGAAAGAAGAATGTACAGATTTGCTTTGTAGTCAGATTTATGTAGATATCTAAAAGTATCAGTACTCATCATGTAGGCTACTGTTGTGGTGGGATTTTGTAGTGGTTTGTATCTTTAAAGGACCATCAACAGCTTTCAGAGGTAATTTTAAATGTATCACCCAATAATGTAATGAAGTCTGAATAAAAAAATATTTATATATTAGTATGCCATAAAAGGCATGTGTATACATCAATAGATCATGATGATATACATTTCTCCTGGGCCATAAATCTCATAGAGAAATTCAATCTTTCTCCAGTCAGCATATTGGAGGGTAGTTGTTCCTTGAATTAGTGTCTGCCAATCGGCGTTTTCTCCACGCCACCTCTAATTGTCTGGCACACACGTGAGAGGAAACACTATACACTTACACTCCTGAGAGAAAACATTACATGCGCACACACACACATACTCATGAGAGAAAGCACCACACACACACACTCTTGTGAGGGAAAACACTACTGACTATTTTGACGGGGAAGGAAGAGGGGGGCTACAACACACACACACAAACCTCTCCTTCCTCCCTGTGTCTCATTTGGGGAAGGAAGATGTCCGGGAGCGTAGACGGATGTGGAAGGCTATCCCTCACCGGTGCTTCCCGCCTCACTGTCACCCCTCTGTGGGTTGTTGTGCCGCGCGGTGCCCTCGGCCACGGCCAGGTAATAGCTCTGCTCTCATGACCAGAGGAGAGGAGAGAGAGAGTAAAGGAGCCCGCCTCCTCCTCCACTTTGTTTCAGAAATAATTTGCCGCTCCTGCATGCCGCCTGCAGGGTCCGCGCAGTAATAAAAATGAATCACACCACTAACCTCTCTAAACCTGCACCCTCTTTTTAACTCCATCCTTCCCAGACAGATACACTGCTGGGAGAATGGAATTGATACAGCATCCCTCCACTTTCATCCCTCATATTCTTCCCTCATTCTCATCCCTAATTCTCAGTTTTTATTAGAATTACGACCCCAGTGTGGATGGCAGAAAAGGCTGTAGTTTATCCTGCTCAGGGATCCAAACTATAATGAGCCAGCTATAGCCTCTCTCCTGTAGAACAGTCCCAGTCCCCAAACCACAGAGTGCTGAGCCTTTCCGGATACTCACAGGTTACGGGTGCGAGGAGCGCCAACGGCCAACTGGCAACTCTCCAAAGAGGCTTTAGAATAGCTGGCCTTGCCAGTAGCCCTGGTGGAGGTGGGGTAATTAATTTAGACAAATTAATGAGCGGAGTGGGGGTCTCCCGTCCAGTTCAGCACCGTGCCGTGGCAGTCTCTCCAAATGAAACCCACAGGTCACTGATTAGCCCCGCCTGCCCTGGAGACGATTTGTCACTAATTACCCAACATGCCACGGGTTTCAGCACCAGCCAGGTAGATAGGGGAAATTAACTAGCAAATCTAATTTTATTTGTCACGTACACAGTTTACAGCAGGGCCAACTGAAGCAAATGACTGTCAAAGTATTTTATATTCTATTCTAAATTATAGAGTATAATTTCAGCAACATATACACTATATATACAAAAGTATGTGGACAACACTTCAAATTAGTGGATTCTGCTATTTCAGCCACACCCGTTGCTGACGGGTATATAAAATCGAGCACACAGCCATGCATAAACAAACATTGGCAGTAAAATGGCCTTACTGAAGAGCTCAGTAACTTTTAACGTGGCACCGTCATAGGATGCCATTGGAATCTGGAGCAGTGGAAACACGTTCTCTGAAGTGATGAATCACGCTTCAACGTCTGGCAGTCCAACGTACAAATCTGGATTTGGAAGATGCCAGAAGAACGCTACCTGCCCGAATGCATAGTGCCAACAGTTTTTTATGGTTCGGTCCAGGCTCCTTAGTTCCAGTGAAGGGAAATCTTAACGCTACAGCATACAATGACAACAACAGTTTGGGGAAGGCACTTTCCTGTTTCAACATGACAATGCCCCCATGCACAAAGCGAGGTCCATACAGAAATGGTTTGTCGAGAACGGTGTGGAAGAACTTGACTGGCCTGCACCGAGCCCTGACCTCAACCCCATCAAACACCTTTGGGATGAATTGGAATGCTGACTGCGAGCCAGGCCTAATTGCCCAACATCAGTGCCCGACCTCACTAATGCTCTTGTGGCTGAATGGAAGCAAGTCCCCGCAGCAATGTCCCAACATCTAGTCGAAAGCCTTCCCAGAAGAGTGGAGGCTGTTATAGCAGCAAAGGGGGGACCAACTCCATATTAATGCCCATGATTTTGGAATGAGATGTTCGACGAGCAGGTGTTTACATACGTTTGGTCATGTAGTGTAACTACATTTGTTGACTCATTTCATTTCAAATCCATTTGATTCAAGGAAGAATAATTTGTGTCAAGCTGGGTGAATGAATTCATTTGGCAAGTGATGGTGTTTGTCGTACAGTGAGGGAAAAAAGTATTTGATCCCCTGCTGATTTTGTACATTTGCCCACTGACAAAGAAGTGATCAGTCTATCATTTTAATGGTAGGTTTATTTGAACAGTGAGAGACAGAATAACAACAAAAAAATCCAGAAAAACGCATGTCAAAAATGTTATAAATTGATTTGCATTTTAATGAGGGAAATAAGTATTTGACCCCCTCTCAATCAGAAAGATTTCTGGCTCCCAGGTGTCTTTTATACAGGTAATGAGCTGAGATTAGGAGCACACTCTTAAAAGGAGTGCTCCTAATCTCAGTTTGTTACCTGTATAAAAAACACCTGTCCACAGAAGCAATCAATCAATCAGATTCCAAACTCTCCACCATGGCCAAGACCAAAGAGCTCTCCAAGGATGTCAGGGACAAGATTGTAGACCTACACAAGGCTTAAATGGGCTACAAGACCATCGCCAAGCAGCTTGGTGAGAAGGTGACAACAGTTGGTGCGATTATTCGCAAATTGAAGAAACATAAAATAACTGTCAATCTCCCTCGGCCTGGGGCTCCATGCAAGATCTCTCCTCGTGGAGTTGCAATGATCATGAGAACGGTGAGGAATCAGCCCAGAACTACACGGGACGATCTTGTCAATGATCTCAAGGCAGCTGGGACCATATTCACCAAGAAAACAATTGGTAACACACTACGCCGTGAAGGACTGAAATCCTGCAGCGCCCGGAAGGTCCCCCTGCTCAAGAAAGCACATATACAGGCCCGTCTGAAGTTTGCCGATGAACACCTGAATGATTCAGAGGAGAACTGGGTGAAAGTGTTGTGGTCAGATGAGACCAAAATCGAGCTCTTTGGCATCAACTCAACTCGCCGTGTTTGGAGGAGGAGGAATGCTGCCTATGACCCCAAGAACACCATCCCCACCGTCAAACATGGAGGTGGAAACATTATGCTTTGGGGGTGTTTTTCTGCTAAGGGGACAGGACAACTTCACCGTATCAAAGGGATGATGGACAGGGCCATGTAACGTCAAATCTTGGGTGAGAACCTCCTTCCCTCAGCCAGGGCATTGAAAATGGGTCATGGATGAGTGTTCCAGCATGACAATTACCCAAAACACACGGCCAAGGCTACAAAGGAGTGGCTCAAGAAGAAGCACATTAAGATCCTGGAGTGGCCTAGCCAGTCTCCAGACCTTAATCCCATAGAAAATCTGTGGAGGGAGCTGAAGGTTCGAGTTGCCATACGTCAGCCTCGAAACCTTAATGACTTGGAGAAGATCTGCAAAGAGTAGTGGGACAAAATCCCTCCTGAGATGTGTGCAAACCTGGTGGCCAACTACAAGAAACGTCTGACCTCTGTGATTGCCAACAAGGGTTTTGCCACCAAGTACTAAGTCATCTTTTGAAGAGGGGTCAAATACTTATTTCCCTCATTAAAATGCAAATCATTTAAAAACATTTTTGACATGCGTTTTTCTGGATTTTGTTGTTATTCTGTCTCTCACTGTTCAAATAAACCTACCATTAAAATTATAGAATGATCATGTCTTTGTCAGTGGGCAAACATACAAAATCAGCAGGGGATCCAAAAAATTATCTGTAAGTGGCTGGGTGCATGTGTGGTGTACATGTCATTGTCTCAGCGTTGTGTTGGAGAGGACAGGGGCAGTAGGGGTTAACAGGGAGAGCATTTAAGGGTGTTAGTCTTCTCTGGCACAAAAAAACAGCCACTCCATCATGGGGACGGTGACAACCTCATTAATGTCACAATATATTCAACTCATCCTGCCCTGTCTGCTGCTAGCCCAAGGCTCACAGATGCTCCTCTACTGGCCTCTCAATAGAACAACTGGCTAGACCGCTCAACCAGTCCGCTCAACCCCAACAAAATAACAGTCTCTTTCTAGAATCATACTATAGAACCACTATCTGTGGGCCAACATTCTATAGTACATACATGAGTAAAGGAGGTTTTATCCTAGGAAGCTAGATTCTAGATCATGTTTGTTATGTAGTTGTTATTCTTGGTTGAGGATAACGTCTAAACTGTACCCCTGTTGTTGACTGTAGGGAGTCTCATTTACTGGGTTGCGCTCTCATTTTTTGCCCCTAGCAACCTTTGAAGCTCTGGGGCCCTGCTTTCTCACTCTGTTGTGTTTTTTCTCCACCTGTTGTGTTTTTCTATCTGCCTTTGCTTTTATGTCCATTATACAGAGCTATAATCCTGAGAGATATCTGATCTCTATTCATCGATCTATATATGATAGTACTCTATTATCGATGTATCTCGATTATAGAGATAATATCTATATCTAAGATGCGAGTGCTAGATATTCGGATGGAGTATATTCCGATATTTAGATATATCTATCCTTCTATCTCTCTCTCTCTCTCGTCTTTCTTTCTCTCTCTTTCTCTCTCTTTCTCTCTTTCTCTCTCTCTCTTTTTCTTCTTTCGTTATTTCTCTCTCTCTCTCTCTCCTCTAGCTCTCAATTTCAATTTCAATTTAAGGGCTTTATTGGCATGCGGAAACGTGTGTTAACATTGCCAAAGCAATGGGAAGTAGTAGTAGTAAACAAAAGTGAAATAAACAATAAATATTAACAGTAAACATTACACTCAGAAGTTTCAAAAGAATAAAGACATTTCAAATGTCATATTATGTATATATACAGTGTTGTAACAATGTGCAAATAGTTAAAGTACAAATGGGAAAATAAATAAACATAAATATCTCTCTCTCTCTCTCTCTCTCTCCTCTCTCTTTCTCTCTCTTCTCTCTCTCTCTTTCTCTCTCTTCTCTCTCTCTCTCTCTCTCTCTCTCTTTCTATCTCTCTCTCAATATGTGGAAGTGAAATGGCCGGCTGTTGCATAGGAATCTGTCCTATACAAGCCACCCCCTCCCACTGCGAGGGGTGTTTAGATTGCCTAGTCCCCCCCCCTCCACCACTCCTTCACTCTCAGCGAATCTATTTGATGTGTCCGCAGTGAATGTTGAGAAGCAGGGAGGGAGGGGGCTGGGGCTTACCCTGATTGTTTAGGAGGAACAGACTGTGTTTGAAGGATGGGATGGGGTGTTGTGTGTGCGTGCATGTGTGTGCGTGTGGTGGTGGTAATGGTGGGACGGACATCCTGATTCCTCCCTTAATGTGTGGACCAATCAAAGGTCATTCTATGGTCTTTGTCTATTCACTGCTACTTTACTCAATGCTACCATGGTCCCGCCCCCTCTGTCTCAGTCTCTCTTTCCCTCAATAAATCCCTATTTGGCTTTGTCTTTGGAGCTTGACTAATTATCCTTGTTTGTTCCTCTTTATGTGGATGCAGTCATGTGTTGTTGACTTCGTGGGCTGGGTTGAGGAGAATCATTCCGCCATTTGCCACTTAATTAAGGGGAGGTCAGAATCCATTGCTCAGCTCAGGAACTAAACGTGCAGAACTCGTATAGAATTATAAAAGGGCTTCACCACTTATTTTCCCACAGGTTATTCTGCAACTGATGCCGCTGTTATATAAATTAAGAATTAGAATTGAAAAAGTAGAGAATCTAACAGCCTATTTGACCGTTTTCTTTGATGTTATTAGACTTCAGTCTTGATACTGTAATCTCTGCTTTGTTTGTTAGCAAACTTTTGGAACAAAGGTTAGCTGTAAGGTAAAGATATTATAATCGTTGCACACAGATATAACACTGAATTACTGAGGAGGTTCATGCTGCACCAAGCGCTAATGCTTTATCGTTTAAAGAGACAAAAACAGAGGTTTTAATTGAGATCTTTGCTCTCACTCTCTTTTCTGCAAGTCCCCTCTGTCCCCTAAACAACAGAGGAATTTTTAGCAAGTATGTGTGCAAGGGCGGGGAAAGCAGTGTGTGTGTGCATGCGTGAGTGTATGTGTTTTACAGTGTGTGCGTGTGTCGAGGGTAACCATCAGCTTGACTTCCTGAATATCATCCCCTGCTTACAAAGTTCACTCTCTATCTCCTTTACTTTCCCCTCTCTTTTCTCCTCCCGCTTTGACATGCTAAATCTGCTGATTTTATTTTTCTTCCTCCTGCGGAGAGGAAGTGTCCTTTTCAAGGATCTCGGCTTTCCCCCTGACTGCCTAAACCCTGCCTATGTTTGGATTGTTGTTCTATTTCAAACAAAAGACAGAGGCGGGATTACCATTTCACTTCCTTTCACAGCCTACCTTTCAAGTGGTGTAGCAGCTGAGGAATTTGAGTCGCCACCGCTGGGCCACTTCCCTTTTTCTTAAACAGAACTCTATAGTACCAGTGTGGTTACGTTTGGACCCGAACTACTGGGATTGAGGTCTTTTTGTGGCTTCAAGGCCTGTATTCACAAATAGGATATATAATCAGTTTAGCCTTTTAGATCGTATTGAATGAGATTTAACAGGGAGGACCTGATCCCGGATTAGCCCTCCTACTTTGAGACTGCTTTGTGAATACGGGCCTTGGGCTCCTTTCTGGGACGTTGACATCTTCTTAATGGTTCTCAGCCTTTTTGTTTAACATCCTGGCGCTAACTTTCTGCCTCATTTAGCTCATGTCAATTCACTGGGCTCTCCTCCCTAGATCTGGGATCCCATTCATTCAGTGGGTTAGCTCTCTGAGGCAAACCTTGGCTAACTGCCCTATTTGACTTCATCACAAATTCCAGATTCTACCAAAACAAAATATTAGGCAGTAAATCTGACTATTACCAAAGGCTGGGGAATGTTTTTAACTTACACCATAAAACTGCTGGCCGCTCCAATCGCTGCTCCAATCGCCATCCTTAAGAAAATAGTTATTCACCCACCACACTGTGGAAGTCGTAAGGTGAGTTTAGAGTTATGCCTGTACCATTGAGCTAATTTGAAGAATCGTATAAGTAACACTTAACTTAACCTTGAGGTATAATGCTTTATAACTGGTTATAAGCATGTATGCAGGCTTTATGTGGTGTTACTGAACTCCTCTCTAAACATAAAACAATTTCCGTTCTCCCAGTGTAATTAGCAATCCTATATTGAGTAAAGGACAGTGCAAGAGTTCAGGGTGACTGTTTTATCTGCCAGGCTGAGCATTAACTATTAATGGTGGTTAGCAGTTCATCAACTTCCGTGCGGGCACTGACAAAGGCAGCTGTGATGTGGGCCAGGTCTGTCAGTGGAGAGGAGAGGTAGGCTAATTAACCACTTTAGTTAAGGCTGATGCTGCTGAGAGCTGTGTGGAGTGGGCCTGGCAGGTGACATACTATTTGTAAAAAAAAATATTTAACCTTTATTTTACTAGGCAAGTCAGTTAAGAACAAATTATTATTTACAATGACGGCCTACACCGGCCAAACCCGGACGACGCTGGGCCAATTGTACGCCACCCTATGGGACTCCCAATCACAGCCGGTTGTGATACAGCCTGGAATCGAACCAGGGGGTCTGTAGTGACGCCTCAAGCACTGAGATGCAGTGCCTTAGACCGCTGCGCCACTCGGGAGCGCATCGGATTCGGAAAGTATTCAGACCCCTTGACTGTTCCCACATTTTGTTACGTTACAGCCTTATTCTAAAATGGATTGAATTATTTTTTTCACCAATCTACACAATACCCCATGGTGACAAAGCGAAAACAGTTTTTTTGAAATGTTTGCACATTTATTAAAAATCAAAAAAAACTTTTTTACATAATTATTCAGACCCTTTGCTATGAGCCTTGAAATTGAGCTCAGGTGCATCCTGTTTCCATTTATCATCCTTGAGGTGTTTCTACAACTTTATTGGAGACCACCTGTGGTAAATTCGATTGATTGGACATGATTTGGAAAGGCACACACCTGTCTATATAAGGTCCCACAGTTGAGAGTGTATGTCAGAGCAAAAACCAAGCCATGAGGTCAAAGGAATTGTCCATAGAGCTCCGAGAGAGGATTGTGTCGAGGCACAGATCTGGGGAAGGGTACCAAAAAATTTCTGCAGCATTGAAGGTCCCCAAGAACACAGTGGCCTCCATCATTCTTAAATGGAAGAAGTTTGGAAACACCACAACTCTTCAGAGAGCTGGCCGCCCGGCCAAACTGAGCAATCAGGGGAGAAGGGCCTTGGTCAGGGAGGTGACCAAGAACCCAATGGTCACTCTGACAGAGCTCCAGAGTTCCTCTGTGGAGATGGCAGAACCTTCCAGAAGGACAACCATCTCTGCAGCACTCCACCAATCAGGCCTTTATGGTAGAGTGGCCAGACGGAAGCCACTCCTCAGTAAAAGGCACATGACAGCCCGCTTGGAGTTGCCAAAAGGCACCTAAAGGACTCTCAGACCATGAGAAACAAGATTTTCTAGTCTGATGAAACCAAGATTGAACTCTTTGGCCTGAATGCCAAGCGTCACATCTGGAGGAAACCTGGCACCATCCCTACGGTGAAGCATGGTGGTGACAGCATCATGCTGTGGGGATGTTTTTTAGTGGCAGGAACTGGGAGACTAGTCAGGATCAAGGGAAAGATGAATGGCGCAATGTAAAGAGAGATCCTTGATGAAAACCTGCTCCAGAGTGCTCAGGACCTCTGACTGAGGCGAAGGTTCACCTTCCAACAGGACAACAACCCTAAGCACACAGCCAAGAGATCGCAGGAGTGGCTCTGAATGTCCTTGAGTGGCCCAGCCAGAGCCCGGACTTGAACCCGATCGAACATCTCTAGAGTGACCTGAAAATAGCTGTGCAGCGATGTTCCCCATCCAACCTGACAGAGCTTGAGAGGATCTGCGGAGAAGAATGGGAGAAACTCCCCAAATACAGGTGTGCCAAGTATGTAGATTCTTTCCCAAGAAGACTCTAGGCTGTAATCGCTGCCAAAGGTGCTTCAACAAAGTGCTGAGTAAAGGGTCTGAATACTTATGTGAATGTGATACAAAAAAAACGGTTTTTGCTTTGTCATTTTGGGGTATTGTGTGTAGATTGATGAGGAAATAAAACAATTTAATCAATTTTAGAATAAGGCTCTAACGTCACAACATGTGGAAAAAGTCAAGGGGTCTGAATACTTTCCGAATGCACTGAAACTCTGTTCCAATATCCACACTAGCATACCACTTAGAATAAAGCAACATGTTGGACATGGATTTCTGATGGTGTGCTAGTGTAGACATTGCAACATAGCCACAAGTCAGTCTGAGGATTGTCTTCAGACCGATGGCGTCATGCTAACGTGACACATTGCCATGAGCTATTTGTAATTATTTGTAATTTTGTCTGCTATCTAGGTCTACTTACTGATTGTTTGAAGTGTAAAGTGACGTTAGTGTCCATACAGATCCGTTGGCAGTCAGTGTCCTGGGGAATCCTTGTCACTCCAACCAGCGACAGAGTCGTTTGCCCATATCAGTGTGAGCCCCTTCTCTCTGTCACTCACCCAGACGCCCAAACAACAGCCCCTTTCTACTTCCCTTATCACTCCGCTTGACGGGGTCGCGGGGTCAGAGCCACACTGAGCATTCACTGTATTGATTTTAATTTTTTTCCAACTATTTGGATGGTTTGGCAGTTTGTGTGTGGGTGGGTGGGAGAAAAGAGAACTGGGGAGTCAAGATTCAAGATGTAGAGCGATGGAGAGATAGAAGTCTGACTGGCAGAGAGTGGAGGGAGATGGGTCCCTCCTCCTCTCCTCTTCTCCATTCTCTGGCTCTATAACTGAAGGAGGCCCAGCCCCAGCTCCAGTCCCTTCTCTGGCTGCCATTCAAGCCCATCGATCGGCTTCCCATCCCGGGCACCCCAGGGGATGCGGGGACCCAAGCGCTGGAAGTCTCCTTTGTGGGGGATCCTCCAGTTATCCAGTTCCGACTGACGGCTGACAGCACTGATAAAAACAGGTCCCCCTTTCCTCCTCTCCTGTATTGTCCACAGCAGACATGCTGTTCACAATGTGTAACCTTTAGATAGCTGACTAGACTCTACTCTCCTGCTGCAGACGATTATCAGTGGAGGTGGGATACAGTTTCAGCATCTGGCCCCTCCACTGAGCCCTTTCATCATCAGTGTCCTGACACTCAGAGGTTACACTAGGCTCCCTATTAGAGAAAATACATGATTGAGACAATGGAGTGACTGTTAGGATTGTTCTTAAGGATCGTTCTTAAGTGGTTGCATGTGGTCTAGACCCTATGAGTACTGTGGAATACAGTTACTCCAAAACCTGCCAGCATTTCCTTGGACCCCTACCATCCCGCCGATCAATTTATTTTATTTTGTGAATAATTATCATGGCTTTAGATTACAAACTATCTATTAATTTAATTGAAAATCCCATTTCAGTCACTATTTTATCATTGTTTCTTGTTTTTCGGTCCTCTGTAACATCACTGACCCTCTGTAACTCTGTATGTCATATCTCTTCTCTCTTTCCTTACCACCAGGGAGGAGAGGGAACGGTGGATCCGGGCTAAGTATGAGCAGAAGCTGTTCCTGGTGGGTCTCCCCCAGTCGGACGTGCCCCTGGGGCAGCAGCTGCTCCGGGCCGTGGTGGAGGACGACCTGAGGCTGGTGGTGCTGCTGCTGGCCCACGGCACCAAGGAGGAGGTCAATGAGACGTACGGGGACGGGGACGGACGCACCGCCCTGCATCTGTCCTGCGCCATGGCCAACGTGGTCATCACCCAGCTTCTCATCTGGGTGAGTAGGTTGAGGTTTGAGAGGGGATGGTTTTCAACCTTTAATCAAGGTTGATTATCTTCCTGGTTGAATAAAGATTGAATGATAATGAATAGGATAAGATGGTTAAAGTGTTAGATAGATAGGGAAAATGTTATGGTCCGGGTCAGGAGTGTTTCCTGAGCATGTTGACATGACCAGGAAAGACTCCTGGCTGTGGAGGAAACTTTAGTGCTTTGTGAGAATCTACTCAACTAGCTAGACCACAATGTCAACTACACCTCTCTCTGTCCAGTCCACTTATTCTCCTCCTCACACTTCTCCTCTGTTCCCTCAGTACGGTGTGGACGTGAAAAGTCGGGACGCGCGCGGCCAGACGCCGCTGTCCTGTGCCCGGCGGGCAGGAAGCCAGGAGTGTTCTGACATCCTGCTCCAACACGGCTGCCCCAATGACCCCGTCAGCAGCAGCAGCCTCACCACCCCCAACATGAGCCGCAGAAACCCCAATGTTAACCCCAACCCTAACGTCAACAACAACAACGCCCTCAGTGAGCTCAACCGCAGTGTCAGTATAATGTAGGACCAGGAGTGGATCATCCCAGAGCAGACCGTAGTTGACTTGACTCACCGATCACCAAGGCCCGTAAACATACACACACTGTTCCCCATAGACTATCCAGTGATCGTACTTCTCTCCCCGTTCTCCTCCTACTGCGCTTCATACTGTGTAACCTAGACTGAGTGACTGGCAGTGGAGGTTTTTTTGTGCGCAACGGACAGGATAGAGATATTCCAAGACGCTGAGAGAGGCAGGCTTACCTGGTGGACATTGTATATTGTATTTGTTTGGTTGTTGTTTTTCTCACATCATTAGCACAGCGGTACATCTGTCAGTAATGATTATGATCAGTTTAAAGCTTTTTATTGTTATTAAGCATCAACCAAATGAATGGCTCACCCCTCCCCTCCCTACTAAAACAGTTCATTTTTATGCTTGAACATTTCCTTTCATGTCGTCCACTGTTGGAGCCAAACTGTGTTTTTATTGTGCTGTTATATGAAATGACAAAATCCTTCCATTAATGCTTCCATGTCTATATAGAGAAAGATAAACACCTTCGTAACATTTTGCTTTAGATACTCCAAAGGAACTTGTTGGATGCACAGCGTTTGCTGAGTGGTATCATCCATAGTCATACAGGAAATAAACTATTACTATAGATAGTGTAATACGGTTTACAGCAAGTCCTCCATATCACACCAATTTCAGAATTATTAAGGTTCTATATGAACCAGTTATTATTGGTACTATGAAGCCATCAAACTCTTGACATACCATTCATGTACAAAAGCAACGCATGTCTAGGTAGGTGGAAGGTCAAAAATGATTGAAATACTTTGCTTACGGGCAAAAGGTTTAAATCATAATTTGACATTTAAGAGAAGATTGCACAATGGGAGAATTTTGGGAGATAGTTAAGTGAGTCATTTGTTCTTCCACCCTGATCATGATCCGCTTGCGAATCATCCATGATTATAAGGGAATTGAGGGTCTGTTTTATGAGCATCATGTCGATTGGTTTTTGTAAAAATGCCTCTTCAATCAGAAATCATGCAGAGGAATGATTGAAGGAAGGAAATTGTATCATTAAGAGATCTTTGTTGGAGTAAGTGTTGATAATTATTTGACACAGATCACATAACCTGTCCCCTACAGGCATAATGGAATATCTGTTCACCTCTTGTAGCCGAAGGCCCTGTATATTGGCACTCATGATTATATTTCTTCTGTTGCTTTGAACTATGTGGTGCGTTTGTGCGTGTACATGCGTGTGCTTCTGTATGAGTGTGTGAGAGAGGAAGTGACTGGGTAAATCTGTGTAAGGACACCATTGGGAGAAAAGGCTAGCATTTATAGTTGTTTGACTAAAAGGTTTTTGGAGCGAAAAGGTGTTTTCAAGTACAGACCACTGTAAAAAGCAGGGGTTGGAACCGGTTCAGGGAACTGAAACGAAAACCGGAAAATAACAACATTTTTGAGAAACAGAACCGGGAACGAAAATGATTTATACTGTTCCAGAATAGAAGTGTTATTTTAAAAGCATGGGAACTGGTTAATAACGTTATTTTATGTTCCGGGCATTTTTTCCAGTCCCACAAAAAACACAACAAAGAGCCTATGTAAAGCCCTCGCTCTGTCACTCAGAAACTTCTTCCAGTGTCTGCCTGCAAGCTGAAAGTCTTTGCCATTGTGTGTGCATGTGTAGACATACACAAGCTTGTTAGCTAACTCTGGTCCAGCGTTAAGCCAACTCTTGGAACTCTCAGAGTGGACCGGACTCACCGATCACCAAGGCCCCTCCGATCACCAAGGCTCAGCGCTTCCATAGAAGCCACTCCTCTGTAGGTAACGTATAATTCTGTGGGCATAATTCAGATAATGCATGTCATAACAAGCCTTCTCCTCCACCCTCTCGCTCTCCCCACCCGGGGGAGTCGCATCTGGCGCCCTACACTTGTCTGTCCATCACGCATGTAAACAACTAGCTTGCCCGCTCCATAGCAAGCTACTCAAGGGATCAAAACAAGTATATTAATGTGTCAAACCATTGAGATAGACTGAAAGGGTCAAGAAGGGATGGAGAGAAAAGCCAAGATAACTTTACAGTCTTTATGGCAATTCTTCATGATAACATCATATGTATATATCAGTACTTAGACATGACAAGACAAAACAAGATGGAGGAGGAGGGACTTTGACATTCGGAACAATCAAGTGTAGCTCCCCTGTAGCTCAGTTGGTAGAGCATGGCGCTTGCAACGCCAGGGTTGTGGGTTCGTTTCCCACGGGCGGCCAGTATGAAAATGTATGCACTCACTAACTGTAAGTCGCTCTGGATAAGAGCGTCTGCTAAATGACTAAAATGTAAATATATTGGCATAAAGTCTATAGAGACATTTCTTTTTCCTCGCTCTTCTGCCGTTTTAAGGATTGAAAATTAAAACCCAGTTTTCTGGTCTTTAATTTTACTATGGCAGTGTTTATGTTTACAGGGCAAAGGCTCTTCATATTAACCCTGTTACATTATATACATGGTTTTGTTATTTCCCAGCAGGCTAAACTGGTTGGAATTACATCAGTACAACCATATTTCAACCTGGTTACAACCATATTATAACCTGGTTGTAAACTGGTTGTAATGACGACATTTAATCCAGCTTTGCCCACTGTGTTCCCTCAGTATTTGTAGTTTATTGAAGCCCACAGAATTTAAAGATGTGGTCAATCAGGAATAGTGTCAAATACAGGATGCACTTCCATCCCTGTTGTCCTGAATTGGCCCTCAGATTCAACCAAGTTACATTTAGACTGATGGTCAACAGAGCTTGTAGACAGCCTTAAGTTATAACTACATTGACGAGTTGGCTTTTTCCTTTGGTGTACAGTACGTGTACAAACCACCATGGCACCAATGTATTTCAATGAATTCTCAAGTACATTTCAAAGTATGTCTGATATACGGTAGTAGATTATTTCCTATAGAGGAGTTGAAGGTATATACTTACCTGATGCCATAGGACCGTATTCACCCTTGTAATATTTCCCTTCCCCACTACTCTTAATGTTGCCTGACTATAACCATTGTTCTAAGGAAAATGTTTTCCCCCAAAGACAGGCTGTTCTGATATGGCACCCTATTCCCTAAATATTGCACTACTTTTGACCAGAGTTCAGTGCGGTACCTGGTCAAAAGTAGTCCGCTATAAAGGGAGTAGGTTACTATTTCGGACGCAACGAGGATGTAGATATGGGTCCAAGATTCTCTATGACCAGACAAGCTCCCAGACAAACAATTGAAAATATTTTTGTTTACGGTCAGTCTTCCTTGACTTGTAAACCCTATTTTGATATCTTTTAAAAAATGTCTTCATTGTTTTTAAGCATATTTTTAGGTACTTTGGTTAGGTCTCAATGTAGCTACATTATCTGACCATTTGAGGTACTTTGTGTATAATGATGTACATTTGACATATTTATAATGCAGTATGTAAATATTGTTTGTTTTTGTTTAATTTTCCTATTGTATTATTTTTTTCTCTTTACGTTCGGAACGTGAAAGAAAGCGTAAAGCTAGGTGTGTGCTTGGACGTTTGGCTGCCTGTTGACCTATTCATCAAAACTCCAATAAAACAATGTAGCCTTTCCTGGATTTGGGAAATAACAAAATGTTTGAAATGTGTCTCTCTCTTTGCATCATCTTTGATTGACTTGTGTAAGTGATGTACTTGTGTATGTATTGTATGTGCTAGCATCATCTGAAGCAGAAGCTTACATTGCGACCACTCTTAAACCATGGGGCCACTCCCAAGGCAACATTTAAAACTCAGCTGTCTTACACAAGCCCTCCATTTTCTTAATAGCAGTTCCTATCTAATAGTCTGTGTGATATACTGTACATGGATGAGTATGTGTTGTGCCAATATATGATTAATACATTTAAAAGTATTCTTCCATGTACTGTAGGTCATGGATATAGGATCATTAGTCAGCCTCACTCAGTCAGATCCATTGAAGTTAGATAATAAAGACAACCCACTGGTTATACTGTGTTTCAATTGAGCATCAGTTTTGGGACACTGAGGATAGCCCGTTGGTGTATATTGTGTATTTCATTAGTATTCATGTTTATTGTGTATACCATTGGTATTCATGTGTATTGTGTGTTTACCATTGTTATTATTGTGTTTCAGGAGTACCAGAGCTTGGCAGAGGACAGAGCTCTGATGCTTCCTTCCTCTGCCAGCCCTTCAGCTAAGTGGTGTTGCCCCCTCTACCCCTCCATTTCCTGCTCATGGGGCCCCCCAATAGTCCCAATAGTCTCTCAGTAAGGAGGATTAAGATAAAGAGCCAGGCTTAGTGTCAGGCAGCATGACAGGCAGCATGACGCGGCGGGGGAAAGTGAAAGGTCTCAGTGTCAAGACGCGTCAAAGCACACCACTAATCCACTCCTTATTTTCAGCTTATCTGCTCTCGCTAATACAGGGGGGCTCTGTGCTTCACCTCTCGGTTTTCTCTTCTGTTGTCTTTTATTACCTGCTTGTCTTTTTCTTTTCTTCTTCCTTCCTCTTTGCAGACTGAGGTGTTCGTGTTTAAGCGCATGCGCAGTTGCACACACACACACACACACATACACCCACACACTTAGTTGAGAGAGTAGCTTATACAATATCAGCACCAGTGGTGTATACTCTAATTTTGCCAAAAAGTTGCCAAATGGCCCGCCCGGCGATGGGAAGGTGCCGTGTGTGAAATATTCTATGAGAAACAGTGACATAAACTCTAAATGACCTACAATGACAAATCCCATTTTGGTCTTTCACAGTCAGGCCAACCCAAGCTGTACTGTGCAAGTAGGCTAAAAGTAGTCCTACTATTGAAACAGATAAATGAGGCTGTCAAATGAGTCAGACATTCACAGGTCTCAGATTTTTCCAATTTATTCAGGTTTTTGCTCTCAAAGTCACACTGTTTTAATAGAAAAACAACAAACTGGATGTTATAAATCCATAACAATGTGTAAACCACATCAGGAGACCACTTTTGAGGTCTGGGTCAAATCTAAGATATTTAGATGTTTTAATTCAAGTGCGCAGGCACCTAGCACTGTTGTTTGTCTAGTGGTGTTGCCAGAAGATAACGACCCTACCGTTACGCTTGTTTACGCTGAGCTGCACTGGGGTCGGAACGCTAGCAGTAGCCACTGCAGCCATTTTGGAATGGCAGCGTCAGGCAATCAGCTCCTTTGTTGTTCAACGCGATGTGTCATTCCATAATGGCTGCTGTGGGTACTGCTAGCTAGCATGAGGATGGAAAGGCCAGTTTCCCAGAAAACCAGCAGTATTTCAACATACTCTTAAGTATCAGTGTTGATGAAGGTAAACTTTGGAGTACAGTGGCATATCCCATCCCTGCATTGAGGTACGTTTTCCGATCCATTTCTCGCGCTGTCTCCAGTGTCTTAATGTAACCATGATTGCGTTCCGACCCCAGTGCAGCTCAGTGTAAGTACAGTGCCTTGCAAAAGTATTCATCCCCCTTGGCATTTTTCCTATTTTGTTGCATTACAACCTGTAATTTAAATGGATTTTTATTTGGGTTTCATGTAATGGACATACACAAAATAGTCCAAATTGGTGAAGTGAAATGAAAACAATAACTTGTTTCAAAGAATTCTAAAAAAATTAATAACGGAATGGTGGTACGTGCTATGAAGCCCCTAAATAAGATCTGTTGCAACCAATTACCTTCAGAAGTCACATAATTAGTTAAATAAAGTCCACCTGTGTGCAATATAAGTGTCACATGATCTGTCACATGATCTCAGTATATATATACACCTGTTCTGAAAGGGCCCAGAGTCTGCAACACCACTAAGCAAGGGGCACCACCAAGCAAGCGGCACCATAAAGACCAAGGAGCTCTCCAAACAGGTCAGGGACAAAGTTGTGGAGAAGATCAGATCAGGGTTGGGTTATAAAAAAAAGATCAGAAACTTTGAATATCCCATGGAGCACCATTAAATCCACAGACGATGCAATCGCCATCACACTGCACACTGCCCTATCCCATCTGGACAAGAGGAATACCTATGTAAGAATGCTGATCATTGACTATAGCTCAGCATTCAACACCATAGTAACCTCCAAGCTCATCATCAAGCTCGAGGCCCTGGGTCTGACCCCCGCCCTGTGCAACTGGGTCCTGGACTTCCTGACGGGCCGCCCCCTGGTGGTGAAGGTAGGAAACAACATCTCCACTTCGCTGATCCTCAACACTGGGGCCCCACAAGGGTGCGTGCTCAGCCGCCTCCTGTACGCCCTGTTCACCCATGACTGCGTAGCCAAGCACACCTCCAACTCAATCATCAAGTTTGCAGACGACACAACAGTAGTAGGCTTGATTACCAACAATGACGAGACCGCCTAAAGGGAGGAGGTGAGGGCTCTGGGAGTGTGGTGCTAGGAAAATAACCTCTCACTCAACGTCAACAAAACAAAGGAGATGATCGTGGACTTCAGGAAACAGCAGAGGGTGCACCCCCCTATACACATTGACGGGACCGCAGTGGAGAAGGTGGAAAGCTTCAAGTTCCTTGGCGTACACATCACCGACAAACTGAAATGGTCCACCCACACAGACAGTGTGGTGAAGAAGGCGCAACAGAGCCTCTTCAACCTCAGGAGGCTGAAGAAATTTGGCTTGGCACCTAAAACCCTCACAAACTTTTACAGATGCACAATTGAGAGCATCCTGTCGGGCTGTATCACCACCTGGTACAGCAACTGCACTGCCCGAAGGTGGTGCGGTCTGCCGAACGCATTATCGGGGGCAAACTACCCGCCCTTCAAGACACATACAGCACCCGATGTCACAGGAAGGCCAAAAAGATCATCAAGGACATCAACCACCCGAGCCACTGCCTGTTCACCCCCCTATCATCCAGAAGGCGGTACAGTACAGGTGTATCAAAGCTGGGACCGAGAGAATGAAAAACAGCTTCTATCTCAAGGCCATCAGACTGTTAAATAGCCATCACTAGCACATTAGAGGCTGCTGCCTATTGAAATCACTGGCCACTTTAAGAAATGGAACACTAGTCACTTTAATAATGTTTACAGTCACTTTAATAATGTTTACATATCTTGCACTACTCATCTCATATGTTTATACTGCATTCTATTCTATAATATTCTACTGTATCTTAGTCCATGCCGCTCTGTCATTGCTTGTCCATATATGTATATTTTCTTAAAGTCCATTCCTTGCTAGTTTTGTGTGTATTAGGTATATGTTGTGAAATTGTTAGATATTACTTGTTAGATATTACTGCACTGTCGGAGCTTGAAGCACAAGCATTTCGCTACACCCGCTATAACATCTGCTAAACACATGTATGTGACAAATAACATTTTATTTTATTTTATTTGAAAAGGCATGTGGGAGACTCCCCAAACATATGGAAGAACGTACACTGGTCAGATGAGGCTAACATTTAGCTTTTTGGCCATCAAGGAAGACGCTATGTCTGGCGCAAACCCAACACCTCTCATCACCCCGAGAACACCATCACCACAGTGAAGCATGGTGGTGGCAGCAGCATGCTGTGGGGATGTTTTTCATCGGCAGGGACTGGGAAACTGGTCAGAATTGAAGGAATGATGGATGGCGCTAAGAACAGGGAAATTATTGAGGGAAACCTGTTTGTCTTCCAGAGATTTGAGACTGGGATGGAGGTTCACCTTCCAGCAGGACAATGACCCTAAGTATACTGCTAAAGCAACACTCGAGTGGTTTAAAGTGAAACATTTAAATGTCTTGGAATGGCCTAGTCAAATCCCAGACCTCAATCCAATTGAGAATCTGTGGTATGACTTAAAGATTGCTGTACACCAGAGGAACCCATCCAACCTGAAGGAGCTGGAGCAGTTTTGCCTTGAAGAATGGGCAAATATCCCAGTGGTTAGATATGCCAAGCTTATAGAGACATACCCCAAGAGACTTGCAGCTGTAATTGCTGCAAAAGGTGCCTCTACAAAGTATTGACTTGTTATGCACGCTCAAGTTTTCAGTTTTTTTGTCTTATTTCTTGTTTGTTTCACAATAAAAAATATTTTGCATCTTCAAAGTGGTATTTGCATCTTCAAGAAAGTATTCATACCCCTTGACTTATTCCATATTTTGTTGTTACAGCTTGAATTCAAAATGATGAAATAAAAAAACATCTCACCCATCTACAGTGGGGAAAAAAAGTTTTTAGTCAGCCACCAATTGTGCAAGTTCTCCCACTTAAAAAGATGAGAGAGGCCTGTAATTTTCATCATAGGTACACGTCAACTATGACAGACAAAATGAGGAAAAAAAATCCTGAAAATCAGATTGTAGGATTTTTAATAAATGTATTTGCAAATTATGGTGGAAAATAAGTATTTGGTCAATAACAAAAGTTTCTCAATACTTTGTTATATACCCTTTGTTGGCAATGACACAGGTCAAACGTTTTTTGTAAGTCTTCACAAGGTTTTCACACACTGTTGCTGGTATTTTGGCCCATTCCTCCATGCAGATCTCCTCTAGAGCAGTGATGTTTTGGGGCTGTCGCTGGGCAACACAGACTTTCAACTCCCTCCAAAGATTTTCTATGGGGTTGAGATCTGGAGACTGGCTAGGCCACTCCAGGACCTTGAAATGCTTCTTACGAAGCCACTCCTTCATTGCCCGGGCGGTGTGTTTGGGATCATTGTCATGCTGAAAGACCCAGCCACGTTTCATCTTCAATGCCCTTGCTGATGGAAGGAGGTTTTCACTCAAAATCTCACGATACATGGCCCCATTCATTCTTTCCTTTACACGGATCAGTCGTCCTGGTCCCTTTGCAGAAAAACAGCCCCAAAGCATGATGTTTCCACCCCCATGCTTCACAGTAGGTATGGTGTTCTTTGGATGCAACTCAGCATTCTTTGTCCTCCAAACACAACAAGTTGAGTTTTTACCAAAAAGTTATATTTTGGTTTCATCTGACCATATGACATTCTCCCAATCCTCTTCTGGATCATCCAAATGCACTCTAGCACGCTTCAGACGGGCCTGGATATGTACTGGCTTAAGCAGGGGGGCACGTCTGGCACTGCAGGATTTGAGTCCCTGGCGGCGTAGTGTGTTACTGATGGTAGGCTTTGTTACTTTGGTCCCAGCTCTCTGCAGGTCATTCACTAGGTCCCCCCGTGTGGTTCTGTGATTTTTGCTCACCGTTCTTGTGATCATTTTGACCCCACGGGGTGAGATCTTGCGTGGAGCCCCAGATCGAGGGAGATTATCAGTGGTCTTGTATGTCTTCCATTTCCTAATAATTGCTCCCACAGTTGATTTCTTCAAACCAAGCTGCTTACCTATTGCAGATTCAGTCTTCCCAGCCTGGTGCAGGTCTACAATTTTGTTTCTGGTGTCCTTTGACAGCTCTTTGGTCTTGGCCATAGTGGAGTTTGGAGTGTGACTGTTTGAGGTTGTGGACAGGTGTCTTTTATACTGATAACAAGTTCAAACAGGTGCCATTAATACAGGTAACGAGTGGAGGACAGAGGAGCCTCTTAAAGAAGAAGTTACAGGTCTGTGAGAGACAGAAATCTTGCTTGTTTGTAGGTGACCAAATACTTATTTTCCACCATAATTTGCAAATAAATTCATTAAAAATCCTACAATGTGATTTTCTGGAGAGAAAAAATCTCAATTTGTCTGTCATAGTTGACGTGTACCTATGATGAAAATTACAGGCCTCTCTCATCTTTTTAAGTAGGAGAACTTGCACAATTGGTGGCTGACTAAATACTTTTTTTCCCCACTGTACATACAATACTCTGTAGTGAAAAAGTTAAAACATGTGTTTAGACATTTTTGCAAATACACAACATAACCAAAATTATGTGGCCAACTGCTCGTCGAACATCTAATTTCAAAATCATGGGCATTAATATGGAGTTGGTCCTCCCTTTGCTGCTATAACAGCCTCCACTCTTCTGGGAAGGCTTTCCACTAGATGTTGGAACATTGCTGCGGGGACTTGCTTCCATTCAGCCACGAGCATTAGTGAGGTCGGGCACTTATGTTGGGAGCTTAGGCTTGACTCGCAGTGGGTGTTCCAATTCATCCCAAAGGTGTTCCATGGGGTTGAGGTCAGGACTCTATGCAGGCCAGTCAAGTTCTTCCACACCGATCTCGACAAACCATTTTTGAATGGACCTCGCTTTGTGCATGGGGGCATTGTCATGCTGAAACAAGAAAGGAAAAGGGCCCCAAACTGTTGCCGCAAAGTTGGAAGCACAGAATCGTCTTGAATATCATTGTATGCTGTAGCGTTAAGATTTCCCTTTACTGGAACTAAGGGGCCTAGCCCGAACCATGAAAAACAGCCCCAGACCATTATTCCTCCTCCACCAAACTTTACAGTTGACACTATGCATTCGGGCAGGTAGCATTCTCTTGGCATCCGCCAAACCCAGATTTGTCCGTCAGACTGCCAGATGGTGAAGCTTAATTCATCACTCCAGAGAACGCGTTTCCACCACTCTAGAGTCCAATGGCGGCGAGCTTTACACCACTCCAGCCGACGCTTGGCATTGCGCATGGTGATCTTAGGCTTGTGTGCGGCTGCTCGGCCAAGGAAACCCATTTCATGAAGCTCCCGACAAACAGTTCTTGTGCTGACGTTGCTTCCAGAGGCAGTCTGAAACTCTGTAGTGAGTGTTGCAACCGAGTACAGACGATTGTTATGTGCTATGCGCTTCAGCACTAGCGGTCCTGTTCTGTGAGCTTGTGTGGCCTACCACTTCGTGGCTGAGCCATTGTTGCTCCTAGACATTTCCACTTCACAATAACAGCACTTACAGTACAGTTGACCGGGGCAGCTCTAGCAGGGCAGAAATGTGACGAAATGACTTGTTGGAAAGGTGGCATCCTATAACGGTGCCACGTTGAACGTCACTGAGCTCTTCAGTAAGGCCATTCTACAGCCAATATTTGTCTATGGAGATTGCATGCCTGTGTGCTCGATTTTATACACCTATCAGCAACAGGTTTGGCTGAAATAGCCAAATCCACTCATTCAAAGGGGTGTCCACATACTTTTGTATGTATGATCGTCGGAGACCAGCCACCCAGACATCTGATGAAACTGAGGAGTATTTCTGTCTGTAATAAAGCCCTTTTGTGGGGAAAAACGTATTCTGATTGGCCTAAGTGTGTGGGCCTATGCCCTCCCAGGCCCACCCGTGGCTGCGCCCTTTCCCAGTCATGTAAAATCCATAGATTAGGGCCTAATGAATTTATTGCAATTGGTTGATTTCCTTATATGAACTGTAACTCAGTAAAATCTTAGAAATTGCTGAATGTTGCATTTATATTTTTGTTCAGTATAAACAGTATATATATTTATTCTGATATCTCTTAATTTTTCTGGATTATGTGTGTATTGTATTTCACTGCACATGCGATAACATCTGCAAATCTGTGTACGCCACCAATAAACTTTGATTTGATTTCACAACGTTTTCTCGTTTGCTGAACAGAGCCCTGTTTTGTTATTGCATACAGAAGGAGGTAGCTAAACACTGAGGAGTGTTCTGTGCCGCCCACCTTGGCTCAGACAAATCACCTCCCAGATTTCAGAGGAGGGTTTTCCTCTGATGGATGGCTACACAAACACCTGACAAGAACATATTTGTAAACATTAATTCAAAATATTGTGTTGCACTACCTAATCACAAGGTAATTGTTTACTGTGTGCTTGCTGTGGAAATTGTTTAACTATAGTTGCCGATCATATGCATGGTTGCCAATTAGTAGGACATTTTCAATATTTTATTATTTACATATGAAATGCAAAAATCTGCTGATCAAAACCACTTCTGTTTAATTCCTGTTTAATTGCTGCCAATATAATTCCTCAGTTATAAATCAATACAGGTATTTGTTAACATGCTTGCTTCTGTGTTTCTACTCAAAGTGTCAAATACATCCTAGGCTTTAGTCCTCTCTGATCCTTAACATCTTCATGTCTGTTTCATCACCTGTCCCTTTTTCTACCCAGTCACTTAGCAACACTGTTGCAAGCCTTTCTAACCTGGTCCCAGATCTGTTTGTGCCATTGTCACTCCAATGATCATAGAAGTTGGCAAGTCAGCACTAACAGATCTGGGACCAGGCTAAACCTTGTTACCTCTCTCCCCTCCTGACCACTTCTCATTGGTATTCATCCTCAGTCCTTCCTGACAAGCTCCTGAATATCCATTTATCATTTTCTTCCTCCATCATGTGTGACCAGAAATAACTTAACGTCCATGTTATATCCTGCCCCATCAGACCTGCCCCCTCCTACCCATTTCTCCACACTCATCTCCATATCGTTGCCTCTCCTTAATCAGAGTATCTTAGTACATACAGCATCTTTCCCTCCCTCCCTCTCTACCTCTTCCTTCCCTTCATACCTTCTCTCTCTTACTCTCTATCCCTCCCTCTTTCTTACCTTCATCTCTCCCTCTTCTCTCCATCTCTCTCTCCCCATCTCCCTCCCCCTTACATCTATTTCTCCCCCCATCCCTCCCTCCCTCCATCCCTCTCCCCTTCTCTTTCTCCATCTCCCTCCCCCTTACATCTATTTCTCCCCCATCCCTCCCTCCATCCCTCTCCCATTCTCTCCCCCTTCCCTCTCCCTCCTTCTCTCTACCCCCTCACTCCATCTCTCTCTCTCTTTGCCCCCCTTGGTTCATGTTCGCGCATTTCTTTTCGCCGCTGTTAATTTGCCTGAGAATGCATTAGCTGTAATGAAGGCTGAGGGCCAAGGGAATCCTCCAGGGTTCCATTAATCATCCCCCCTCAGACAGGCAACCTTGATTACAAGTGGCAAGAAATTCATTAGAGCCGGGCCTCTGACAACTCTTATCTCCGCCACTGGATCTGACTCATTAGGCAGCCAAATTAAAGCTATGATGGCCCTGATGAAACTCAGTGCTTGTTTATCTTGTGCGATTTGATGCATCTGCCCATACATCACGGTTGGAGATGGAGAGGGGGGCGTCCGGCATGAAGACCCTCCCAGGAAGTCAGGGCTCTGGTGTGGGCACACAGATGGGATGGGGATGGTCTGATTATGTACAGATCTCTAGGAACATACATGTATAGGAGCAGATTTCATTTAAGAAATCACAGGTGGAGATAATGGTGAGATGTTAGCATGTTTTGAGGGCATGATCTTTGTGCATCTGTAACTTTCTCACTCATTATTATTCACGATTCATTCAAAGTAATCCATAATCATGGTAGCATCCACATTAATGTAGAGGTGTTCAGAAACATATTATATTCTTATTAACAATAAAAGTAATGGGCGGATTGGCCTTTTGGCAATTCTGGCAAATGCCAGAAGGGCTGAACAATATTTTATTGGGGTGGGCTGGTCAAAATAAATAATAATATTAATAATATTATTCAAAAATAATGATGGACACGGCCGGCGGCCCATGGGCCTGTTTTTGTATGACTTTAGAGCTAATTCTCTGTTGTCATAATCATCTATACTGAACAAAAATATAAACGCAACATGTAAAGTGTTGGTCCCATGTTTCATGAACTGAAATAAAAGATCCAAGACATTTTCCATACGCACAAAAAGCTTATTTCTCTCATATTTTGTGCACAAATTTGTTTACATCCCTGTTAGTGAGCATTTCACCATTGCCAAGATAATCCATCCACCTGACAGGTGCGGCATATCAAGAAGCTCAATAAACAGCATGATCATTACACAGGTGCACTTTGTGCTGGGGACAATAAAAGGCCACTCTAAAATGAGCAGTTTTGTCTCACAACAAAATGCCACAGATGTCTGAAGTTTTGAGGGAGCGTGCAATTGGCATGCTGACTGCAGGAATTTCTCCACCATAAGCTGCCTCTAAAGTTGTTTTAGAGAATTTGGCAGTATGTCCAACCGGCCTCACAACCGCAGACCACGTGTAACCACACCAGCCCAGGACCTCCACATCCCGCTTCTTCAACTACGGGATCGTCTGAGACCAGCCACCCGGACAGCTGATGAAACTGAAGAGTACTTCTGTCTGTAATAAAGCCCTTTTGTGTGGAAAAACTCATTCTGATTGGCTGGGCCTGGCTCCCCAGTGGGAGGGGCTGGCTCCCAAGTGGGTGGGCCTATGCCCTCCCAGGCCCATCCATGGCTGCACACCTGCCCAGTCATGTGAAATCTATAGATTAGGGCCTAGTGAATTAATTTCAATTGACTGATTTCCTTATATGAACTTTAACTCAGTAAAATTGTTTAAATTGCTGCATGTTGCATTTATATTTTTGTTCAGCATTTGGCTGACCAGTGGGCAACAGCCGAGACTCCTATTTTCTGATTAGCTGAGCTGAGGTGGGGCAAATTCACATGTATAGTCAAACACGCATCATCAAAGAGAGTGAGACTTGCTCTGACTCTGTCAGTCACTCAGTCAAAACAGAAAAACTGAAATGTGGTGCCGAAAAAGTTAGAGACCAAAAAAGGGCTCTTGAGGCCGATGCGGCGAAATGTGTGAAATTAACTGACTTATTTGCTCAAAGTTCTGGTTCTGCTGGTCTGAGGTCTGTGTGAGAAATGACAGATCCATCTGCTGTGGTGCAGTCGAGGTAGGAAGAAAACAGAGAAAGACGCACACTGACACAAATCATGTAGCCTAGTACTGCCAGTTAAGCCTAATATTTTGCCTGCATATTGTATGAAATATATTTCATACCTACTATAGTAGGCTAAGTAGGGAAGGGAGATCCGGGGGAACATTTAGACACTAGACTACTTGCAATATAGCCTAACAAGTCTGTCACGCCCTGACTCTGGGGACTATTATTTGTTGAGTCAGGGTGTGATTTTCTATGTTGTGATTGTCTATGTTGTATAGGGTCTAGTTTGTGTAGTTCTATGTTGGCCGGTGTGGTTCCCAATCAGAGGCAGCTGTCGCTCGTTGTCTCTGATTGGGGACCATACTTAGGCAGCCTATTGGCACTAGTGGGTTGTGGGATCTTGTTCCGTGTTAGGTATGTTGTTTGTGTACCTTGGACTTCACGTTTTGTTTAGTTTGTTGTTTTGTCGCTTGTTTATTCGTTTCAAATAAACATGTATGCTTATCACGCTGCACCTTGGTCTGATCCGTTCATGAACGCACGTGACAAAGTCATTAGATTTATGACATATGGGTAAGGCAATAGCCATCTACTAGACATGTATACAGTGCTTTTTACTAAACAGAAGTCATCATGTATTACAATAAAGGTCAATTCAGGGACTGTCTGTGAATTTTGTTTTGTTTTATCAATGTTTATTCGCTTCTGAATCCCAGTCACTTCTGCCCAGTGACTGAGTTTATGAGCTGTAGTAACAAGTGACTCTAGTGTCGGATTACATTACATAGCCACCACACTGAAGGCTGGAATGTCCCGCCTATATCCCTCTTATTTCATTCGCTGAAAGGCCCGTCATTTCTTGGCAGAAAGATACGCATACGCGAGCGGCACTGTCAAACAAAGCACAATGCTGAAAATCTATCCACATCCACATAAACTCGGCTTCGTTCTTTGACAAACACAGTACAGAAGGTTGTGTATTAAATTCAATAGAAGAAGACAGCAAGAGAGAGAGAGGGAGAGCGAGAGAGAGAGAGAGAGAGAGAGCGAGAGAGAGAGAGAGAGAGAGAGAGAGAGAGAGAGAGAGAGAGAGAGAGAGAGAGAGAGAGAGAGAGAGAGAATGTTCCTTAATGTAGCCATTGGCTGTATTATACAGCCAATACATTAAGGAACTGGCAGTCTCTCTCTCTCCTTCTCTCTCTGTGTTTCTTTCTGTTGATTTATATGTAGCCTAATATATAAACAGTGAGTAGGGGGGAACACTTGAAATAGTTAGGCTGTTATAAGGTATTATATAAGCCAATGGGGTAACACTTTATTTTAAGGTTTTGTAATAAACCATTTATAAGGCATTTATAAATTGTGTGTTCACCGTTTCCTAATCATTACTCCCATATTAATAAACCATTTGCTAATCATTACTAAAGTATATTTGCAGTGCCTAATCTAAAGTGAGTGCTATTTATACTTTCTAAATACTTTCTAAATGATTTGCGTGACCAGTGTAATTTTGCACAAAAAGATGGGCATGCCATTGGTAGACATTCCTGCTGTACCTGGTAAAAGAACAAGCACACAACACAGGATGTTTAAGGAAATATATGTGAGTAACTAGCTTACTAACATTTACAAATGTGGGAGCAAGGATTAATAAATGGTGAGCAAACGGTTTGTAAATGCCTTATAAATGCCTTAAAATAAAGTGTTACCCTAGGAGGTTAATAGGCCCAGCACCGGCCGTGTGGTCCCCTGGTCTTCTGGTCCCAGTGATGCTAGACTTAGCAACACAGACATCTCAGCTGCAGTCAAGTGTAGTGGACATAGGGAGAAAGGAGAGAGAGAGAGAGAGAGAGAGAGAGAGAGAGAGAGAGAGAGAGAGAGAGAGAGAGAGAGAGAGAGAGAGAGAGTTGTACTGCCAGTTTATTGATATTTTGCCTCTATATTACCTATATATAGCTCAGAGATGAGTGCAGTGGAGATAGGAAGAAAACAGAGACACAGATGTACTGCCAGTTCCTTAATATGTTGGCTCTATATGTAATAACAATTAACACGTAGGACTGACAGACAGGCAGACAGACAGAGTGACAGCAGAGAAGCGCAAGGTGAATCACAGACAGACAGACAGACAGATGGACAGACGGACGATAAGACGGACAGAGACAGAGTGACGGCAGAGAAGATGCAGAGACAGACCGCACAACAGGGAGGCAAAAGAGGCACAGTTGTAGTGGTGAGATGTATCTCCCATGGTGCTTTTACATGTTGTATTTATCTTAAATGGATACTTCGGGATTCTGGCAATGAGGGCCTTTATCTACTTCCCAAGAGCCAGATGAACTCGTGGATACCATTGTTATGTCTCTGCGTGCAGTTTGAAGGAAATTGTGGGGCAGTGGTCTAAGGCACTGCATCGCAGTGCTAACTGTGCCACTAGAGATCCTGGTTCGAATCCAGGCTCTGTCGCAGCCGGCCGCGACCGGGAGACTCATGGGCGGTGCACAATTGGCCCAGCGTCGTCCAGGGTAGGGGAGGGAATGGCCGGCAGGGATGTAGCTCAGTTGATATAGCATGGTGTTTGCAACGCCAGGGTTGTGGGTTCGATTCCCACGGGGGGCCAGTATAAAAAAAATATATATATATGTATTCACTAACTGTAAGTCGCTCTGGATAAGAGCGTCTGCTAAATGACTAAAATGTAAATGTAAAATGTACCTTGGCGTTATAAGCGCCGTGCTCTACCAGCTGAGCTACAGAGGACCACACATTATTTACCATTAATTTATATTGGGCACAACATAACACAACAAAAATAAACTGCAAATGCATCCAACAAGTTTGTAGAGTCACAAGCTTGATGTAGTCATTGCGTGCAAGGAATATGGGACCAAATAGTAAACTTTTGTCAAAATGTAATACACTAAGTGAATTTATCAAAAAACGTATGACACCTTCAAATGGGGGGACTACATACATAAAGTACCACTAATTTCTAAACAGTAAAACAGATATGTATGAAAATACCCTAAAATAAAAGGTCACATTCTGTCCTGTCGCCTCATATAAAACATTTGATCTCAAATCCAAAATGCTGTAGTATAGAGCCAAATGAAAAGTGTTTGCTTCACTGTCCAAATAAATATGTAGGGGAGTGTGTGCTATGGCATCAATAGAAAATGCATTGCATTATACTCAGTATAATAATACTTGGGATGGTGTGAGCCATTTACTATGTTCTCCTTATATGTTCTCAGATGATTCCAGGTTCACAAAAGAACCATCATCTCCTAAACATCTACACATATAGAGACAATCACAAGACCTTGAAAACTCTTGCAATAACTGCAGTATTACAGCAGGGTGTATGTCATTGTTCTTTAATTGTGTATAAACTCACCTAGTGTGAAATTGCCATAACACTCTGTGTACTATGTAATCTACTTGAAATCCAGGATTAGTCAGCTCTTAGGACAATATTAAAACTTCCATCACTGGCCCACGACAACATCCATCCTTATATCACCATCCCAGTGTCACAATCTTGATGTATGAAGTGGACAATAAACAAATGACTGCACATTGTCTCAGATGGCAATGCTAGTCATGCCATTTGATGGTCACTCTATGCAGTTGGGCTGTTGAGACAAATACCATGGTCAAATCCGACAACGGGCCTTAACATTAACTTCACCTTAGCCTTATTGTTGGTTAGAGGCTAGAAGCTATGGTGCTCAGATATCTTTTCAATTCAATCATTGAAGTTCAGTCATGGAAGTTCAACGGCAGCCTAAAATATAGATTATTATGATTTCCTCAAAGGACATAAGGAAGAAATTAACCCCCCTCCCCCATGGCCTTTGAGGCCAAGTCAACAGGTGCACCACTTATTAATCAGCTAATATTTAAGAAAAACTATATCTAGCCTATACAATATGTCTCATGTTCAGTTTATTAAATAGTTGTCATGGAAATGTGGAGCCCTATCTCTTCCTTCCATCTTGAGCAGTGTGTTGGTTTAAAACTGTGTGCTGATTAATATAGCTACAGTAATATATTATAATATCTGGATCATAGGAGCCCCATTTGGAAACAGTTCAAAGAGATATATTGTGTCCAAACTCACATCCAGCTTCTGAGGCCAGTAGAGGTTGATATTTTGCACCGCCTACCATGGTCCGCTCCCTTTCAGAAACTTTGCAGGCACATTTTAGATGGACCATACACTCAAACCTTAAATTGCCATGTAAAAACAACTCTGGGTTGAGAGAGAAAACTAGAAAAGCAGACAAATGATATCCAAGGAATTGGGTGAGCCTATACAAATTGTGCATTATAACCCCCTTACCCTCTGGTATCAATAAACCTATTGGGCTTTGTTTTTGTGTCCTTTTGTGCCACATAACATTTCAAGGAGTCATTTGACAGAGTAAATTATATTTCTGTCATATGACAATGCATGTTGCATGATGACATCCACTGTGTTTTTATAGTGTTTGAATAGTCCTAGCTCACTGTAACGTTGTGTATGTCCCTCTGGGCACACACAACGTTGTTTCCACGTAATATTTATGAAATTACATTGAACCAACGTGGAATAGACATCCGTGCCCAGTGGGGTGTGTCATTGCATCCCCGCGACAACTCTGTTCCCTCCATTAGCATCTAAGCACTAGAACACGCACCAAACATTCTGGCGTCATTGGAGGGCGAGACTCAAAAATCATTCACCCTCAACTGGCAGATTTGAAGTCTCTTCAACAGCTCTGGCAGATTTTAAGTCGGAAACTAGTTAGGCAACTTTTAGGCAACTGTTTTAAATTTATAGTAGGCTAATATTGTATTATTTTTCATTTAAATATTGTAATCTTATCCGTTTACCTATTTCCGTTATAGGCTACCTAATCTTACCATCATGATTGAGATGACTTCATTGTGACAGCAGCAGCAAAAATGCAAAAACAGTCGCTAATTAGCTTAATTTCTTGACTCAATTCAAATATCGCGCATGATAACATCGTTGACATGTGGATCAGTTATTCAAACATGGAGTAGGCCTACATGAGATAACATCTGGGGGAAATCTATTATAGCCTAAAGTTTTTCAAACCAACCCATATCTTGGATAGGCTCTTTGCGCACCTGTAAATACTGTAACAACCATAGTAGCCTAAATGTAGCCTAAAATAAATTGTTTTTACAGGTAGGCCTACACCTGTAAAAAATAATTGCTAGCTTTTTTATATTCTCTTTGTTCCTCTCTTAGGATTGACATTTATGGAAATTTACCAATTCGGATATGAAATGAATTACTTATACAGTACATCAAAATAAGTTTAACTTTTCTCTGTATTCCTGAGTTGAGACTTGTTGGCATAAATAACACACTCACACACACACACACAGTCTTGTACAACTAACCTTGTTTGGACACACAATTCAGTCCCATTCAAAATCATATTTTCCCTAACCCTTAACCCTAAACCTAACCCCTAACCCTTACCCTTACCCTAACCCTAACCTTAACTCTAATCCTAACCTTAACCCAAAAACCTTAACCCTAACCCTAAACCTAACCATAGCTCCTACCCCTAACCCTAAAACTAACCCTAGCTCCTAACCCTAAACCTAATTCTAACCCGAACACTATTTCTAACCCTAACCCTAAACCCCCTAGCAATAACATTTGACCTTGTGGGGACAAACATAATGTCTCCAGTTGGTCAAATTTTTGTTTGTTTACTATTCTTGTGTTATAGTTAAACATGTCCACACAACACGCACGCACACACACACACCACACACACACACACACACACACACACACACACACACACACACACACACACACACACACACACACACACACACACACACACACACACAGACAGTGTTCACCCTCTCTGGTCTGGTCTCCTCCTCTCTTACAGTGATTGATGTTGAAGTTCATTACGAGTTGTAGAATATGACCGTTCTAATGGGGATCCATCACTCCACCTTGAGACAACATGGACCCCTAAAGAGAGATAAATGACTGCTGCTTCCAGTCACAAAACCCTGTTTCTTTCCCTTTATTCTCTCTTGACTGCTTAATAAGAACCTTCATTTGAATGTAGCTATCATCAAGGCCTATACGGAGAACTGCTGGACTTTGCATATAGGTGAAGCGGCAAATAATGTAATACTCATCCTTATAAGTATCAGTCGTCCACTTATGTAGCCAATCCTCTCTCAAAAGAGAGAAGTATTTTTTCAAGACCTACAATATACAGTATCATTACATTGCAAAATCACCCAGGCCTAGTGTGCAAAAATGTCTTCAGATTAATGCTGGCTAGATGTTACAGGTGTACAATACAGAATTGTCATTTACTTACCAGTTTACTATTCAAAATCAATAAAATCAGATTATTCAAGCCTATAAAATGGCATTGCGATCGAGTTGTTATTTTGAATAAGTAACGTTATGTCCTATAATTTATAAAGCAACAATCTTTTATAATTATCATAACTATTGTTACGATTAGGACTATGCCTATTATGATCAATGATCAATTATAGTATTATTAGGTGTCGTTATATTTGTTTATTGTTATACTTAACATTTTACTAGGCTATTAAAATACACTGTCATGTAATAGCCTAGTGGTATTTTTACTTCATGAATGAGAGGCAAATATATTCTATAGACAGAGACATCACTGATCATTTTCTGAGAGCAGACAGAGGATATAGACAGCACAAATCATCAGCTATAAAACTATAGCTTAGCCAGCAATAATAATGCATTTAGATATATACATTTAATATAAATTGATTTATTAAGTCAATATACTTTACAATATTTCTTTGTTTGGTTATTTATTTTCCTTCACATCTTTTCCCCCCACAAACAGCTGGCGAATACAGTTCCTACAGTGGCCTACCAAAATGAAAACTTTGTAAGGTACATGCAACAAGTGATAAACAAAACGGTACCAAATACGAGAAGTTTGAAATAGCTTCACCGAATGAGTAAAGCACATGCAGATAATAAACAGAACATTTATAGGCCCTAGCTAGATATAAATATTATAGAAAAGAATTTTTACAATCTCATTTCATAGTGCATGTCTGTGTCAACCGACACATATAATATTTACAAATTAACAAAACAATAAATAAAATATGAGATAGGCCTAATTTGACAAATTAATTAATCTGCGAAGAGAAAACATATTATCCTTAGTTGTCCAGTTGATAGGACATGTCTCTTGATGTAAAGTCATCTCGCTGACCACAAAATGTCATCCCGTTTTTGTGCTTCATGCATTTAACAACCCAGAACTTTCTTCTGTCAGAATTAGTTTAAGCCAGTATAGTTCATCATGGCCTTGTTTGCTCTATCTGTTGGTGCTGACTCCTCACCGCAAACCTGTTGACGTGCACTGGGATGGGGACCACAATTTTGGGGTTTCTCACAGGCTCTCCCGACCTGTTATTGACGTTGCCAGCTTTTATTCTTTTCCATTTGGCCCTACGATTCTGGAACCAAATCTTGACCTGCACCTCGCTCAATTTAAGTGCGTGTGCTATTTGAGAGCGTTCGGTGAGCGAAAGGTACTTCTTACAATGAAATTCCTTCTCAAGTTCAAGTAGCTGCTCGCTTGTAAAAGCTGTTCGTCTCCTCCTGCTCTTTCCCGCTGAGCTTCCCGGTGGTAGAGCTTCCTGCGACCCGGGTTTTAGTTTACTCTTTTGGGATAAAGAACCACAGTTGTTCCCATCGGAGAAGCTTTCGTTTTCGCTGTCAACGGCAGAGCTGTCCTCTCTGTCACTGCAAGCTGTGTCCGCTGATTTGAGGTCCAACTTCTCATCATCTGAGCTGTACAATTTAGTCTCACCTAAAACGTACGAAAGAAGAATGAAAACATACATTTGAATCAATTAGTTTGAGCCTATACAACTTTACCTCACAAATGTAGGTAAAAATTCAGAGACATTGTCTTATCCACATATGCCTCTAAAAGGAAAATGGAATAGGCCTGTTGGGAGTTTTATTTCTGCTGTATTTTCGTCAAATGAAATGAGTAGGCCTATTACCATTCATAACAACTCTATGAATGAACGTGACATTACATAGCCTACCTCTAGGCTAAGTCAAGATGGTTAGTGAATAATAATTATGCCTGATGTAAGAAATAGATTAGAACTTGAGTTAGGCTCATCTCGAGTTATTGCACATTTGAAAATTGTGGTTTGTTATGAAACTATGTGTTTGTGGAGATTTCGTAAACCTCTGGGAATTAGATGGTCAAATTTGAGGAAAAGCAGGCTATTTTAGGATGATGGTATGCCTATCTTACATTTCAGTATGATATTTGCCCTGGCTAGACTGAGGTGAAAGTTTATGTTCAGTCAGCACTCAGAAGTGTCTTTTTGGCTTAATGTCTATGCAGTCCAATCTAACTTCTAATTTGGATGCCGCTTGCGTGTTTTACGCAATAGGTCACAACTTGCCAACCTAATATGGAAGCGTATGTACAGAACAGGGACACAGGTAGTGAGCTTACCTGGTATAGTTTGAAATGTTTCCGAGAAGTTGAGTAAGTCCGACCCCTTGTCCCTTCCATGGAGATCATCTGAGTGTGGGCTCTCCTGTCTCCTCGTTCCTGGGTCGGCACTTAACCGAGGTCCGGGGAGCTCTTGGGGAGGATAGAAACTATCCGGGGCATCCGAGAAACTTGGCAGTGTTGTCGTGAGAGCCACCATGGACGGCATACCCTGTCCCAAACTCGCACAGAATGTGTTGGTAAGACGTCCAGCGAAAGATGCCAACGGCGCCAAAGGAGGTATGCCAGATGGTAAATGTGAATGAGATAAAGATTGAGGAATCATTAAGGGTCTGTACGGCATAAACATCGGGTAGCCCGTGTAGAGCAGGTGTCCCGGCCGAGGTTGCGGAGTTCCTATCAAGGAGTCAATCGAAAACGCCGCCCCTTGGCCGCCCGGTCTTTGCATTGTGAAGAAAATGGTGACTATCTTTATCGAAAACTCAGGCGCCCCTTCTTTCCCTCAACAAATAGCCAAACCTTAGATTCGACGGTCGAGTGAAGTTATATGTCCCTTCGCTTTGATATTATCCCGTGGACTAACCAGCTTCTCTGAAATGTCCTCAAGCTTATTGCGACCAGTCGCTTTCTTGTTGTGTGCCCACTCCCTATCTCTCTATTTGTCACACTGAGACATAAACACACACGCTCCCCCCCTCTCCCTCTCCCCTCCCTTCGCCTCTCTCTCTGTCTCGCTCTCTCGCTCTCGCTCTCTCTCTCTCTCTCTCTCTCTCTCTCTCTCTCTCTCTCTCTCTCTCTCTCTCTCTCTCTCACTCACACACACACACACACACACACACACACACACACACACACTATCTATCCCCCCCCCTCTCTCTCTCTCTCTCTCTCTCTCTCACACACACACACACACACACACACACACACACACACACACACACACTCACACACACACACAGAGTGAGAGAGCTAGAGAGGAATGAAAGGGGGTGTTGCCCTGGGGACTCATCCATCTTCCTCAAATTAAGCTTCATTTCCTTATTCAGCTTCTGACTTTTTGGCCGCCTTGAGAGGCGATAGTTTCCCAGTGGATACCGAATAGACGGGTCGCCCCCCCTCCCCAGCCCTCCACCACCTTTGCCCAGTCCACATTGACTGGAAGCGGTGTGAGAGACTGCTTCAGCCCTTCCCCTTCTATAATCGTTGACCACACCAACCCAATCAGCTATTATTAATTTTGATTGATGATAAGTAATTACTTTGGATTCAAGGGACGACATAAAACAACCGTGCTTTTGTTGAAATGTTGGGACGGATGGCATCGGAGTTGGGAGGGAGGAGAGGCAGATGTTTTGCCTCTCTTGAGAGAGAAAAGCTTTTCTATTCTCCCGGGGTAAAACAATGCGTTAGGTCGTAGAAAAGTGCGGTAACAATTATTCCCTGGAGAGAGATATTCTGTGCAAAATTAGATTCGGATTGAATACATTAATGTGAGGTCAACGGCAATTTTTAAACGAGGCTGCGCAGTTTTGAAAAGTGGCTTTTGGAGACATTTAAACTTTATTCGATTCAAAATACAATATGCTATTAAAGTTTTGGAGGCTATGGCTGTACCAATAAAATAGTGGTCTATGTAAATAATTTAGCATGTTTAAGATAGGCCTAATTTGAGAATGCATCCTAAACGAATTGCAAATAAAATATTGAAAAGTTAGGCTACAATTACGTATCGTTAATGCGCGCTTTCAGGGTTCTGGCCACTCTTTTTCTATATGCTTTTAAGTCTCTATTAAAATCAAAATGTGTAATTAGGAAAAATGACTTTTCTCTTTTCTTTTAAGTGTTGATTTAATCGGAGATAATTTTACCGTTTAAATGTCAATCCGTGATGATGATTAGCCCCTATTGAGTCCTGGGGACGCGCTTGGCACTCCAACTGGCCGTCTGATTGCATGAAGACATAAACATATCACCAACCGACTCTGATTAGCAATGGAGGGCCAATGGATGCTAATTATTCTTATAATTGCAAATGACTCCATTCAGCAGCACCTACCTTTGATCTATTGAAACCAGATAGCTTTCCTCTCCCGCGCTCCTCTCTCCCTTTCTTTTTTTAGAGTGGACTCACTTCAGATTGTGTAGTCTACAATCAGAATCTCCCCATACCTCATTGAACAAATATAACACATTTCTCTCAGATATGTGATACTTTCTGCATTTATATCCATTGGATTTATTATTGGTACATTTTAGTCAGGAATCTATAGTTTATTTGATCAACTACATTTATTATTAGGCTATAATAATAATAATAATAATAATAATAATAATAATAATAATAATAATAATAATATTATAGCCTAGTTGCTGGTATATGTCTGTAACAACTGGGTGATGGACTTTCCTTGGAGCTTTAATATTAACCTATATTATTGTCATGTTTATTGAAGTTGTAACATATTGCTAATAGATCATTTATTTCAAAACTGTATTATTTTTCGTTGCAAGTTTACTTTCTTTGATGCGCTAAGCACATTGAAAAGCGTAGCTAGTTCAAGAGCCTCAATAAGGCAGGTTCATTACCCAAGTCAGCATCTTGTCTCCATGTCACCACCCTCTGTCAAACAGGTCATTCTCCCCAAGCCGGGTGGTTGGTATTTAAAAGCATGCTACTTTTTTCGGTCCCATACAATCATACAACTGGACCTTACCACATTATATCAACTGGAAACGCCTTAAGTCACCTAAGTGGTTTTACAACGACATTTCTGTGATTTAATTCAATCACAAATAATGTAAAACTACTAGGCTACATTGCATTATTTAATTTATGTAATTGTATTATTTTCGTCTGTTTTCCATTAAATTGTTGTCGATCCCACTATTTGCTAGATTAAAAAGCATCGATAGACCTTGTTGGTAATTTTGAACACACAAAAGCTTGCTGCTTATTCAAGACTCTATTCATGATTTACTTCCATCACTGACGTGTTGCATTTGACTGAAACTTTCTGTAATATAAGATTGTTTTTTTTACATTTTAGTAGACGCTCTTATCCAGAGCGATTTACAGTTAATGAGTGCATACATTTTTTTTTCTTCCTTACTGGTCCCCCTTCGGAAACGAACCCACAACCCTGGCGTTGCAACCGCCATGCTCTACCAACTGAGCTACACGGGACCACAGTCTTAACATAACAGTCTCTCAGATTTACTCTCATGAACTCTTTATACATTAATTATAAATTAATTGAATTATTTCCAAAATTACTAGTCTAATGCCAGTGATATAAAATAGGCTTCTGATCATTGAGCCTAACAAATATTCTGACAAAAATGGTTATAAAGCAATAAACATTTATCATACACATTTGTTCATTTAGGAGTTATTTTATTGAAAAAGTAGTAGTAATTCTCTACCAAATATTACTATACACCCATAAAATCATATTGACATTGATCAAACATGTTTAAATTTTAGTCATTTAGCAGACGCTCTTATCCAGAAATCTCAATATCAAAATATGCAAACGATTTCCTTGTACTACTTCAACGTAAGACTACTTTACGGATGTACATTCCAGTACCATTGATAGCACTATAAATAAAAAAGGTTACACGTGACGTTTCTTTAACAAATAAAATAGAAAAAAACACAAGGAAGCCAGCCATCGAATAAAGTACGTCTCATTTGTCGTTTGAAGACCACAGCACCCCCTTGTGGTGACTCGGAGTAACAAGGTTCTGCTTGTAACGCAAAATACATTTTAATTGTCAACGAAAATAGCAATAAAATGAATACAATCAATTGTAAAGACAAATTATGGCTGAAAAGTGTTTTGTCATGTGTTGTTGTAGATAATGGTATCCATTTACTCAACACTACTTTACTCTCACACTGCAATCTCAAGGATTTTGGATCCAGGAGTGGTAGTTCTTAGTACCACAATCTGTAGGTCTATGAAGATGATTCTTCTTCTGTGTCACTCTGCAAAACTAATATTGTCACAGACAGACTGAATTCCTAGTATTTGTCCTGAGTGTACATACAATACAGAGCTAACCATACCATACCATGTGTCACCATATATTCAGTGTTTAGGGCTTATATACATCCTGGCTCTATCTCTCTCAGTGGACATAGTCTCTGAACTCCAGCAGCAGGAAGTTTTTGATGAAGGTGGGCAGGTCTAGGTGTGGCACCACCTTGTGTACGTGCCCGTCTAGGTAGTTCCTGAACTTCCATCGAGCCAGGTGCTGTAGGGAGCGAGGGGTCTGTTGCAGGGAGAATACAGACTCATAGAACCCCTTGTGTTCCTGGAGGGAGAGATACACAGAACACTCAGACAGTTAGAGTCATATTCTATCAGAATAGAATACAATAGAATCACTTTGATTCTAGGAACGTACCTTAAACATCTCAGGTGAAACAGCCTCCACCCAGTCATCTGTGACCTTGAGGCGGTCGTACGCATTCAGAAGAACCTCGATGGTTCGTGGGGAGACACAGCAGTACTTTAGCACCTGAAAATACATCAATGTATCATGAATACCACATTACTTAAAACTAGAAACCACATGGGCTCAGTTTACACAACCAGTCCAATTCTGATATGTTTTTCACTAATTGGCCAATCAGATCAGCTCTGAAAAAGATCTGATGTGATTGGTCAAAATACCAATTAGTGGACAAAAGATCAGAACTGGGCTGCCTTTGTAAATGTAGCCATGGTTATGGATACCTGGTAATGTTAAGAAAATAAACTATAGCCTATCAATTTTTAAGCCTATTTTCTAGCATAAAACCTTATCCTTCCAGATGCCAATTAAATATTCCCCAATTGAATAATTGCAAAGGGAACAATTGCATGCATACATTTTTTATATTTTTTTAACCAATTCTCAGTTTTGTGATCTCCTAAGAAACAAAAAATAAAATGTCCTTACTTTATGTTGGCGTTAGGTTGTGACTTGTGACTCATCAATAGAATATAATACTTAATCTAAAGTAATTAAACACTTGGTGAGATGAACAGATTGGTCTACCCTCTGGAGGTTTACTGGAAATTATGCAATTAGTGCTAATTTATCTCCTATTAACATTCCCTAATTAGGAGTCAGGCATTTTGTTCAGAAGCACGTGGTGGGTTCAGTAAAGAGCAGCAGACCTGGGTTCAAATACTCTTTGCAATCTTTCAAATACTTTTAAGCGGTTGCTTTAGCCTACCTTGAGTGCCAGGTGGGCAAGTTTGCATGGGACTTTTTAATTGTTCCATCGTTGCAACAGTCAAGCACAATCAAGCACATGCTAAAGTATTTCAAATTATTTCTAATTTACTTGAAGCCAGGTCTGGTTCATTGAATATTAGTAGTTTCCGTTTCTCACAGTGAGAACATTATTTCATGTTGAGGAGAGAAATAAAGAATTCAATGAACTGTTTTAGTGTTCATACTTCATCTGTTCTTTCGCAACTGTACAGTGCCATGCAAAAGTATTCATCCACTGTGGCGTTTTTCCTATTTTGTTGCATTACAACCTGTAATTTAAATGGATTTTCATTTGGATTTCATGTAATGGACATACACAAAATAGTCCAAATTGGTGAAGTGAAATGAAAAAAATAACTTGTTTAAGAAAATTCTAGAAAATAAATAACGGAAAAGTGGTGTGTGCACATTTATTCACCCCCTTTTGTCACGGATTCTGCCGAGGCTGCTCCTCCGCCTTGCTCGGGCAGGCTTCGGCGTTCGTCGTCCCCAGAGTACTAGCTACTGCCGATCGATGTTTCGGTGTTTGTCTTGTTTTGTCTTGAGTAGTTACACCTGTTGTCTATTATGTTAGATTGTTTAGCCTATAATTTCCCTTGTCTCACGTTTGGCATTTGTGTGTTATTGTTTTGTGTCTAGTCGATGTTCGGCCTTGCTGTTATTATTCCATATTACGTATATGGTGTTTTTCCCTCCAGTTGCGGAGGTTTTTGATTTGTACTTTACATTGAGTAAAGTAGTCTGCCAGTATCTCTGTGTCCTGCGTTTGACTTCACTCGCCGCTTACACATCACTCCTTCACAGAATAACACACCACCATGGAGTCAGCAGGATCAGCGGTACCGACGGGATCATTGGAGGAGTGCGTAAGCAGCCAAGACGCCATGATCCAGAGACTGGGCACCGCCATGCAGGATGTTATGGACACTTTGAGCCGATGGGAGAGAGGAGGTTTGCCCACACCTCCTCCAACAATACCACCGGCCATACCCATCGTTCCATCTCCGGAGTCCAGTGGGATTCGGCTCTCGCTCCCGAGGGCTTATGATGGCACCGCGGCCGGGTGTCAGGGTTTCCTGCTCCAAGTAGAACTCTAACTGGCAACCATTCACCCGGCGCCCTCGGGATTCGAGAGCGTTTCCGCCCTCATCTCCTGTCTGTCCGGCAAGGCATTGGAGTGGGCCAATGCCGAATGGAGGGGAATAGACGCATCTGTTCCACCTCAGACAGGCGAAGAGGAGCGCGCAGGAATTCGCACTGGATTTCCGGACTCTGGCGGCCAATGCGGGATGGAATGAGAGGGCCCTCATCGACCACTATAGGTGCAGCCTACGGGAGGATGTTCGCCGAGAGTTGGCCTGCAGGGACACCAACCTAAGCTTCGATCAGTTGGTGGACATGTCGATCCGTCTGGATACCCTGTTGGCTACCCGCGGACGTCCGGAGCTGGGGCCGTCCATTCCATCCCCCAGCACCTCCGAGCCGAGCCCTATGGAGCTCGGGGGTGCTGGTGCTAGAGAGAGGAGGAGAGAGACCCGGAGAGAGGCCGTTCCCTGCACCAACTGTGGCCGCAGAGGACACACTGCGGTTTGGTGCTGGGGAGGGTCTCCTAGGGATCGAGGCAGCAGGTCACGCACTGATGAGTCATTCCAGGTGAGTAAGCTCCCAACTCACCCAGAGCTCTCTGTTGTCCACTTGTTTATCCAAGTTGTGTTTCCCCAGGTTTCTTCTCACTCCCAGCATAAGGCGCTAGTCGATTCAGGCGCAGCTGGGATTTTATTGATCGCAGTTTCTGTTATAAGTTAGGGATTCCCCTCATACCAGTTGATGTGCCCTTCCCTATCCATGCCCTAGGCAGCCGCCCTTTGGGGTCGGGATTGATTAGGGAGGTCACAGTGCCACTTAAGATGAAGACGCAGGGGGGTCATGAGGAAATTATACAGTTGTATTTGATCGACTCTCCTGCGTTTCCCGTGGTGTTGGGGCTTCCTTGGTTAATATCTCATGACCCCAACATTTCGTGGCAACAGAGGGCTCTCAGGGAATGGTCTGATCAGTGTGTCGGGCGGTGTATAGGTGTTTCCGTAGGGGCGACAACGGTGGAAAGTCCGAACCAAATGCCCGCACTGCACATTCCTCCTGAGTATACAGATTTGGCACTCGTCTTCAGTAAGAAGAGGGCGACTCAATTACCACCGCATAGACAGGGGGATTGTGCGATAGACCTCCAGGCAGGCGCTGCACTTCCGCGTAGTCTGTCTCAAGAGGAGTCGGCGGCTATGGAGACATACGTTGCCGAATCTCTGGGACAGGGATACATACGGCCCTCCACTTCTCCTGCGTCCTCGAGTTTCTTTTTTGTGAAGAAGAAAGATGGAGGTTTTGCGCCCGTGTATTGATTACCGTGGTCTCAATCAGATTACCATTAAATACAGTTATCCTCTCCCTCTGATTGCGAGTATGACGGAGTCATTACACGGGGCGCGATTCTTCACAAAATTGGATCTCAGGAGCGCTTACAACCTGGTGCGCATTAGGGAAGGAGATGAATGGAAAACAGCATTTAGTACCACCTCGGGTCACTATGAGTATCTCGTCATGCCCTACGGGTTAATGAATGCTCCTTCAGTCTTCCAATCATTTGTGGACGAGATTTTCCGGGATTTGCATGGACAGGGTGTAGTGGTGTATATTGATGACATTCTAATATACTCCGCTACACGAGCCGAGCATGTGGCCCTGGTGCGTCGGGTGTTGGGTAGGCTGTTGGAGCATGACTTGTATGTGAAGGCGGAGAAATGCCTGTTTTTCTAGGAGTCCATCTCCTTCCTGGGACATTGGTTGTCCGCGTCAGGGGTGGAGATGGAGATTGACCGCGTTTCAGCCGTGCGTAATTGGCAGACTCCTACCACGGTTAAGGAGGTGCAGCGGTTTTGGGGTTTTGCCAATTACTACCGGAGGTTTATCCGGGGTTTTGGACAGGTAGCAGCTCCCATCACCTCCCTGCTAAAGGCGTTTGCAGTGGTCGGCTGAGGCGGACAGGGCGTTTAGACATCTGAAGGACCTGTTCACCTCGGTTCCGGTGTTGGCACATCCGGACCCCTCTTTGGCGTTCCAAGTGGAGGTGGACGCGTCAGAGGCGGGGATTGGGGCTGTACTGTCTCAACGCTCGGGCACGCCTCCTAAACTCCGTCCCTGTGCCTTTTATTCTAAGAAGCTCAGTCCGGCGGAACGTAATTATGACGTGGGGGACAGGGAGCTGCTAGCGGTGGTTCAAGCCCTAAAGGTGTGGAGGCATTGGCTTGAGGGGGCTAAACACCCTTTTCTCATTCTGACTGACCATCGTAACCTGGAGTACATCCGGGCAGCTAGGAGACTGAACCCTCGTAAGGCTAGGTGGGCCATGTTTCTGGCCCGGTTTGTCTTTAAGCTCACGTATATACCAGGGTCACAGAACGTTAAGGCAGACGCCCTGTCCCGGCGATATGACACAGAGGAGAGGTCCATTGAGCCCACTACAATACTTCCGGAGTCTTGTCTGGTGGCACCGGTGGTATGGGAGGTCGATGCGGAGATCGAGCGGGCGTTACGTACCGACCCTACTCCTCCAGAGTGTCCAGAGGGGTGGAAGTACGTGCCGCTCGAGATCCGTGATCGACTGATTTATTGGGCTCACACGTCACCCTCCTCTGGTCATCCTGGTATTGGCCGGACAGTGGACTGCCTTATTGAGAAGTACTGGTGGCCAACCTTAGCCAAGGACGTGAGGGTTTATGTCTCCTCCTGCTCGGTGTGCGCCCAGTGTAAGGCACCTAGACACCTGCCCAGGGGGAAGTTACAACCCCTACCCGTTCCACAACGGCGTGGTCTCACCTATCGGTGGACTTTGTCACGGACCTTCCCGCCTCCCAGGGGAATACCACAATTTTGGTCGTTGTGGATCGGTTTTCTAAGGCCTGCCGTCTCATTCCAATGCCAGGTCTCCCTACTGCCCTACAAACTGCTGAGGCCCTGTTTACACACATCTTCCGGCACTACGGGGTGCCTGAGGATATAGTGTCTGATCGGGGTCCCCAGTTCACCTCTAGAGTCTGGAGGGCGTTTATGGAGCGCTTGGGGGTCTTGATTAGCCTTACCAAGGGTTTTCACCCCGAGAGTAATGGGCAGGTGGAGAGAGTAAACCAGGATGTGGGTAGGTTTCTGAGGTCCTATTGCCAGGACCGGCAGGAGGAGTGGTCGGGGTATATCCCCTGGGCAGAGATTTCCCAGAACTCACTTCGCCACTCCTCCACTAATCTTACTCCTTTTCAGTGTGTGTTGGGGTATCAGCCAGTCCTGGCACCCTGGCATCAGAGCCAGATCGAGGCTCCTGCGGTGGATGAATGGTTTCGGCGCTCGGAGGAGACATGGAACGCTGCGCATGTCCATCTGCAGCGGGCTATCCGTAGGCATAAGGCGAGCGCCGATCGCCACCACAGTGAGGGTCCAGTGTATGCACCTGGAGTTCGAGTCTGGCTCTCGACTCGAAACCTGCCCCTTCGCCTGCCCTGCCAGAAGCTGGGTCGGCGGTTTGTGGGGCCATTTAAAGTCCTGAGGAGATTGAACGAGGTATGTTACAGGTTACAACTGCCCATAGATTACCGCATTAACCCCTCGTTCCATGTGTCTCTCTTCAGGCCGGTGGTAGCTGGTCCACTCCAGGAGAATGAGATATGAGAGGCTCCTCCGCCCCCACTGGACATCGAGGGGGCTCCGGCGTACTCAGTCCGGTCCATCGTGGATTCGAGACGTCGGATGGGGGGTCTGCAGTATCTCGTGGAGTGGGAGGGGTACGGTCCGGAGGAATGGTGCTGGGTGCCTAGGAGGGACATCTTAGATCCCTCCCTCTTGACGGAGTTCCACCGGAGTCATCCGACTCGCCCTGCTCCGCGTCCTCCTGGCCGTCCCCGAGGCCGGGGTCGGCGCACGGCTGGAGCCGCGCGTCAAGGGGGGGGGGTACTATCACGGATTCTGCCGAGGCTGCTCCTCCTCCTTGCTCGGACAGGCTTCGGCGTTCGTTGTCCCCGGAGTACTAGCTACTGCCGATCGATGTTTCGGTGTTTGTCATGTTTTGTCTTGAGTAGTTACACCTGTTGTCTATTATGTTTGATTGTTTAGCCTATAATTTCCCTTGTCTCACGTTTGGCATTTGTGTGTTATTGTTTTGTGTCTAGTCGATGTTCGGCGTTGCTGTTATTATTCCATATTACGTATATGGTGTTTTCCCTCCAGTTGCGGAGGTTTTTGTTTTGTACTTTACATTGAGTAAAGTAGTCTGCCAGTATCTCTGTGTCCTGCGTTTGACTTCACTCGCCCATTACACATCACTCCTTGACACCTTTGCTATGAAGTCCCTAAATAAGATCTGGTGCAACCAATTACCTTCAGAAGTCACATAATTAGTTCAATAAAGTCCACCTGTGTGCAATCTAAGTGTCACATGATCTGTCACATGATCTCAGTATATATACACCTGTTCTGAATGGCCCCAGAGTCTGCAACACCACTAAGCAAGGGGCACCACCAAGCAAGTGGCACCATGAAGACCAAGCAGCTCTCCAAACAGGTCAGGGACAAAGTTGTGGAGAAGTACAGATCAGGGTTGTGCTATAAAAAAATATCAGAAATTTTGAACATCCCATGGAGCACCATTAAATCCATTATTAAAAAATGAAAAGAATATGGCACTACAACAAACCTGCCAAGAGAGGGCCGCCCACCAAAACTCACCAACCAGGCAAGGAGGGCATTAATCAGAGAGGCAACAAAGACACCAAAGATAACCCTAAAGGAGCTGCAAAGCTCCACAGCGGAGATGGGAGTATCTGTCCATAGGACCACTTTAAGCCATACACTCCACAGAGCTGGGCTTTACGGAAGAGTGGGCAGAAAAAAAGCCATATCTTAAAGAAAAAATAAGCAAACACATTTTGTGTTCGCCAAAAGGCATGTGGGAGACTCCCCAAACATATGGAAGAAGGTACTCTGGTCAGATGAGACTAAAATTGAGCTTTTTGGCCATCAAGGAAAACGCTATGTCTGGCGCAAACCCAACACCTCTCATCACCCCGAGAACACCATCCCCACAGTGAAGCATGGTGGTGGCAGCATCATGCTGTGGAGATGTTTTTCATCTGCAGGGACTGGTAAACTGGTCAGAATTGAAGGAATGATGGATGGCGCTAAATACAGGGAAAATCTTGAGGGAAACCTGTTTCAGTCTTCCAGAGATTTGAGACTGGGATGGAGGTTCACCTTCCAGCAGGACAATGACCCTAAGCATACTGCTAAAGCAACACTTGAGTGGTTTAAGGGGAAACATTTAAATGTCTTGGAATGGCCTAGTCAAAGCCCAGACCTCAATCCAATTGAGAATCTGTGGTATGACTTAAAGATTGCTGTACACCAGCGAAACCCATCCAACTTGAAGGAGCTGGATCAGTTTTGCCTTGAAGAATGGGCAAGAATCCCAGTGGCTAGATGTGTCAAGCTTATAGAGACATACCCCAAGAGATGAATAGTTATGCACGCTCAAATTTTCTGTTTTTTTGTCTTATTTCTTGTTTGTTTCACAAAAAAAAATATTTTGCATCTTCAAAGTGGTAGGCATGTTGTGTAAATCAAATGATACAACCTCTGTGTTAATCAAATGATACAAACAAAAACCTCAATTTTGTGTTTGCATGAAATAGTTATGCACGCTCAAATTTTTCTGTGTTTTTTGTCTTAGTGCTTGTTTGGTTGCACAAAAAAAATATTTTGCAATCTTCGAGAGTGGTATGGCAGGTTGTGTAAAATCAAATGATACAAACCCCCCCAAAAATCAATTTTTATTCCAGTTTGTAAGGCAACAAAATAGGAAAAATGCCAATGGGGGTGAATACTTTCGCAAGCCACTGTAGCAGTGGCCGCTTCTGGCTCTTACCTCGGGCAGTGCTCCAGGCCACACCCTGATGGAGCCGTGATTGAGCAGAGAGCGGACTACCCTCTCTGGCTTGTGCTCTGCCTTGTAGGCCACCACCTTCAGAGGACCACAATGGAAATAAGTTGTAAACCAGTTTTTGTGTTTTATCTTCAATTATGTTAAATGCAGTGTATCTACATGTGTGGCTGAATTGTGTTTTTATATGTCAAATAAATAAAACAAAAAAACACCTTGAGGACGTTTTGCATGGGGGCGTTTCCGCTGTAACACATGGTGTTGACGCAGGCTCCGTGGGCCAGAAGACGATCCACCACGTCCGGGTTGACGTTCTTACAGGCCATGTGGAGTGGGGACTGTTTGTCCTGGTCCCCTGTGTTGACGTCAGCTCCTGCCGCCAGCAGCAGCTCACATACCTGGAGGACAGGACACACATAAGGGCTGTTCACACTACAGAGCCGAACCAAGGTGAGCCAAACCAAGCTGTACTGAATATTACTAACCCCAAATGATAACATAAAACAAACAGTACAATAATTAATTAAGTAACTCACACCTTGGTGTAGCGTTCCAGATCATACTTCTCCTGTGGTTGTGAGCAAGCGGCATTGAGTGGCGTGAGACCATCATCATTCTGCTTCTCCAGGGCGGCGCCATAGCGCAGGTACAGCTCCGTGTGACCCGGGAGCCCGTTCCGTGCTGCCACATGTAACGGCGTGTTATCCTCGTTGAGGCTCCGCCCGTTGATTGCGGCGCCAAACTGGAGCAGGTGTTTGGCACACCTGTACATCCAATTACAGAGGAGGGCCATTGGGAAATAGAATTAAAAATGAATGTAATAATATTAATATTGATCCCTACATCCCGGTTCAACCTTTACCCTGGCCATTACCCTAACCCTAGCTTCATGTCCACATCCCGGTTCAACCCTAACCCAAGCCTCAACCACAACCACAACCCTAATCCTAAACCTAGCCTCATGTCCACATCCCGGATTCAACCCTAACCCGAGCCTCAACCACAACCCTAACCCTAGCTTCATGTCCACATTCTGGCTCAACCCTAACCATAGCCTGAACCACAACCCTAACCCTAGCTTCATGTCCACATCCCGGTTCAACCCTAACCTGAGCCTCAACCACAACCTTAATCCTAGCTTCATGTCCACAACCTGGCTCAACCCTAACCATAGCCTGAACCACAACCCTAACCCCAGCTTCATGTCCACATCCCGGTTTAACCCTAATCCTAGCCTCAACCACAACCCTAACCCTAACCCTCACCCTAACCTTATCTTTATGCCCACATCCCGGTTCAACCCTAACCCTTAACCACAATCCTAACCCTAACCCAGCAATGTCTCAGAGCAATAACATTGATTGGTACAGTACTTACACTAGGGACTCAGGACTGGTGCACATGTGCAAGGGCATGAGCCCATCTTCACTGACAGCGTTGGAGTTGGCACCATGGGACAGCAGCAGCTTTACACACTGGGGCTGGCCGCTCTGGCAGGCCTCATGGAGGGCAGTGGTGCCCCCAGGGGCTAGGTCTACGCTGGCTCCGCGCTGCAGCAGGTGCCTCAGGCAGTCAACAAACCCCCGGCCTGCTGTAATGTGGAGTGGGGTGGTCAGCTGCTGCTCGTAGGTCAGAGACCACAGTCCTGGAGAGGAAGAACAGGGTCGTGTCCATTAAGGCATGCAACTGAAAACGTTTTAAAGCGTCTTGCACTGGAAAAGGAAAACAAGCATTTGTTATTGGATAAGTCCAGGTGTCCCTCACTGTTTTGTTCCTTTTGGTGGACAATGAACCCCCTGTGAACAGGTTATTTCAAACAAAGGCATTGACCTACTCAGGGTTCTATAGTGGTGCCTGAAGTTCTTCCACTCCTCAATGTTGCTGGTGTCATAGACGGCATCAATGAGGTCTTCACACTCTGGTTCATCTATGATGCTAATAAGGGTCAGGTCATCCCCCACCAGCAGACAGTTCCAAAATTGAAGAATATAACCTGTGGCCTGGGCCGTAGCGATCACATCGTTGCGGTAGCGCTTTGGAGGCATATATGCAATGCAGGTTGAGTCTGCGCCCAAGTGGTAATAAGAGTAACTACTGACTGGTCCGATTTTGTTGGTTGTTTCTTTGTAGCAGTAATGGCGGTTTCTCTCTCCTGAGGTAAATGTTGTGCTATTCTGAAGCCTGTTTGTCCACAGGGGACTATTTCAGGGAGGCACGACGGGTATGGTGTTATGTGATATTTTGGATGGCCCATAAAACACTGCAGCCACAGCCGGCTAGCGCAGCAGCCACATTACTTCTGTGTCACATGTAACATTCTCACTCATGCTCAATCTTCATGCTACCAAACCCCTTAGAGTGGACAATGGAACTGCTTACAGACAAGAACACACAGTTGCTATGTTTGTGACTGACCACCTAGCCACAAGAGAATAACATTGGACAGGTGTGTGGATGGAAAATCAAGCACATGACTAATACGTTGGCTTTCTGCTGGAATGTTTCTGAACTAAGTGGTGGACTTGATCTATAAATAATGTCTATAAATCATAATTTGATACTGCCATGGTTGATATTGCCATGGTTGCTAATGATCACAGGATTATAAGCATTTGAAACAGGGCAAGGGATTTATCCAAAGGTATGATGGTGTGCTTATGGGCTTTTGAAAGTGTATATCAGTAAAATATACACCAGTTGGTATTGGTACAATGTTCAGACTACAATGGAATTACCTAATTAAGCTTATTGAACAAATTTACTCCATTCTGAAACTGGTCATTTTTTTACACACAAAAAGGTTTTGTATTCATTTCAATAGAGACAAAGAAAACCCCTCATCAACCATCGCTGTCTCAAGTCTAGAGCTTGGAGACAAAGTAATTATCATCATGATGCCAGTTCCATTACTGCTGATTATAGACATTAATCTCTGCAATTACATCAGACATACGTATGTCATAATAGTGACATATAAGTAATCTGCCACCGTATGTGACATATAACTACGATGGTTAAACATAACTATTTTTTACATATTATAATACAGTGGTGTCCAAACTGTGGGTAGGAAAAATGCTTTCAGTTTAAACTTAAACAACTTAAACTAAATAGAAAGTATGTGGAAAATATAATGGACCCATGTATTTTTAAATAATAGCCTATAATCTTTGAGAACTTACAATCATCAAAATAAAAGCTAGACAGTCAGGCTCGCATTGATTTCGTTATAAAGTTTGAGCATAAGAACACAGAATAAGCCATGTCCAAATGTGTAGAATTGCAGGAAAATTGCTTTAAACAGCAACATTTTCGCTCCACTGCCAAGATGAGGGTGGCAAATTTTCTTGCCCAGCTGCCTGGACCGAATTCAGCTTTGCAGACTACCGACCGCACCCATTGCCACGAACCCTGTCACGCCCACAACCTAAGCCCCTTTCTGATCCAGAAATATTTGTTGCAAATAATTTCATAACTATACAGTCCATTTCTTTAAATTCAAAAGAAGCCATACTTAAATCTACATTCAGTGTAATGTTCTGAGGAAGGTAATATTCATTTATGTTTTACTTTTATTTATTTAGTCTGGGAATGTTTTTTCACCGCTTAGTCTTATGGTGGGTCTCGACTCAAAAGACACCTCAATTGGTGGGTCACAAAGCAAAAAAGTTTGGGAACCCCTGTTCTAATAAGACCATGTTGCTTACCTTCCCCCCTGGCCACCCAGCGCATGTCCCCTCCCTGGGGCTTGATGATGAGGTTCGACGTGACGCCCCTGGGGAAGAAATGCTGCACAGCGTCCGCATCTCCAGTATAGATTGCGTTCTGGATGACCAGGTCATGGCACACAGCCGGGGGTCTAATATAGGTGCAGGACCTCGTAGGTGCAGGGCCTACCCTGTCCCTGGCCTCTTTCTTCAGCATGTAGCCATTGAGCTGGTGGCTGGCCAGCTGCTTCTTGTACTTGTCTCTCTCCAGCATGTCCTCGTCCAGCTGGAGGGAACGCAAGGCCGTGGGGGTGAAGACGAAACTGCCTCCTCCCGACATGTTGAATGATTGGCTGACTGGCTGGCTTCTCGCTCAGGATAAGAGAACCGCAGTGTACATGGAAACTGTTTGAGGGTAGTCAAAGTTATATTTTTATTTCTGTGTCTCTCTCGGCCTGTCTCTGTCCCCCTCTGTGTTTCTCTCTCTTTCTCTTTCAGTATAACTATGTCTCTCTCTTTGTCTCTGTGTGTCTGTCTCATGCCTGCTCTCTGCCTCCCAGCTATTCAGTGGCGTTGTTTTGATATCTAATATGAGAGCCTCCCTGCAGCATGACCAAGGGCTATTTTTACCATCACTGACATGGCCACTTTGCCTCCCCTGGTAATCTATAGCCAAAGTGTCAATGCTGTTGCCCCTGTTATTCAAAATGTCAAAAGACTGTCTCCAAACAAACCAGAAATTGCCTCAATCAGTGTGCTATTGGAAACATCCATGATTTCAGCCACAATATCATATATGATTTTAGAGAAAGTAAAAGCACATTTATGTATTTTCATTTGCTATTTCTCCTTTTGCAGGGGATAACCGCTCTGTGATTTGACAGTGGCTGGGCTTATACCACATACCACAATAACAGATAGGGTGAGTGTAACTCACATGAAGGTCAAGTACCTTCCTTCTCACTGGGTCTGGTGAAATCAACCCCGTAGCAACCAGCAGGGCCTTCTAATTTATTGTAGAGTAAACTATCCACTGCACTGACAAACACATAACCTTACTCCTGTGCTATATATTGTAATGACATAAGTAATATGTCGTCGCAACTGACATACAACAGACACATGTCACTGTGTTGACAAACGAGATGTTGAAATATGTCTCTCTTCTTCTTGTTTGTATTCATGTATGGACAAAGGCAACATTTTGCTGCCCTTTTCAATGACCTGTCAAAGGCTTTTGATACAGTTCACCACTCATTACTAATTCAAAGGTTGTCCGCAATTGGCCTGGATCAGGCTACATGTAACTGGTTTAGAAACTAAATGGCAGACAGGACACTGTGTATATTCTGATGGTGTTAAGTCAGGTTTCCTTGATATTACGAACGGTGTCCCACAATTTTGGGTCCTGGACTTTTTACTGTCTTTATAAACAATATTGGTTTCTCAGAAAATATTTGTAACCTTCACTTGTATGTGGGCGATACTGTTGTGTATTCTGTTGTCCCTTCTGTTGTCCAGGCTCTATCTGATCTACAGTCTGCCTTCATTGTTTTACAGAAAACCTTTATTGACCTTAAACTATTATTGAATGTGAGTAAAACTAAGTATACACTGAGTGTACAAAACATTAAGAACACCTTCCTAATATTGAGTCCCCCCCCTCCCCATTCTTGATACACACGGGAAACTATTGAGCGTGGAAAACCCCAGCAGCGTTGCAGTTCTTGACACAAACTGGTGCGCCTGGCACCTACTACCATACCCCGTTCAAAGGCACTACAATCTTTTGTCTTGCCCATTCACCCTCTGAATGAGACACATACACAATCCATGTCTTAATTGCCTCAAGGCAACAAAAAAAATACTTACTTAACCTGTCTCCACCCCTTAATCTACGCTGATTGAAGTGGATTTAACAAGAGACATCAATAAGGGATAAAATCAAATGAAATGTTATTGTTACATACACATTTAGCAGATGATATTGTGGGTGTAGTGAAATGCTTGTATTCCTAGCTCCAACAGTGCAGTAATATCTAACAATACGCACAAATCAAAAAGTAAAAGAATGGAAAGACACCAAAACTATGAAATAACACATATAGAATCATGTAGTAACCAAAAAAGTGTTAAATCAAAATATATTTTATATTAGAGATTCTTCAAAGTCGCCACCCTTTGCCTTGATGACCGCTTTGCACACTCTTGGCATTCTCTTAACCAGCTTCATGAGGTAGTCACCTGGAATGCATTTCAATTAAAAGGTGTGTCTTGCTAAAAGTTAATTCATGTGTTTGAGCCAATCAGTTGTGTTGTGACAAGGTAGGGGTGGTATACAGAAGATTTGGTAAAAGACCAAGTCCATATTATGGCAAGAACAGCTCAAATAAGCAAAGAGAAACAACAGTCCATCATTACTTTAAGACATAAAGGTCAGTCAATACGGAACATTTCAAGAACTTTGAAAGTTTCTTCAAGTGCAATCGCAAAAACCATGAAGAGCTATGATGGAACTGGCTCTCATGAGGACTGCCCCAGAAAGGAAGACCCAGAGTTACCTCTGCTGCAGAGGATAAGTTCATTAGAGTTACCAGCCTCAGAAATTGAAGCCCAAATAAATGCTTCACAGAGTTCAAGTAACAGACACATCTCAACATCAACTGTTCAGAGAAGACTGTGTGAATCAGGCTTTCATGGTCGAATTGCTGCAAAGAAAGCACTACTAAAGGACACCAATAATAAGAAGAGACTTGCTTTGGCCAACAAACATGAGCAATGGACATTAGACCAGAGGATATCTGAGGAGATTTCTGGTTCCAACCGCCGTGTCTTTGTGAGACGCAGAGTAGGTGAACAGATTATCTCTGTATGTGTAGTTCCCACCGTGAAGCATGGAAGTGTGATGGTGATTTGCTGGTGACACTGTCGCAAAACACCAATCTCAACGTCAACAGTGAAGAGGCGACTCTGGGATGCTGACCTTCTAGGCAGAGTTGCAAAGAAAAAGACATATCTCAGACTGGCCAAAAAAGAAAATATTAATATGGGCAGTCTGAGATATGGCTTTTTCTTTGCGACTCTGCCTAGAAGGTCAGCATCCCAGAGTCGCCTCTTCACTGTTGACATTGAGACTGGTGTTTTGCGGGTACTATTTAATGAAGCTGCCAGTTGAGGACCTGTGAGGCGCCTGTTTCTCAAACTAGACACTCTACTGTATTTGTCCTCTTGCTCAGTTGTGCACCGGGGCCTCCCACTCCTCTTTCTATTCTGGTTAGAGCCAGTTTGCGCTGTTCTGTGAAGGGAGTAGTACACAGCCTTGTACGAGATCTTCAGTTTCTTGGCAATTTCTCGCATGGAATAGCCTTCATTTCTCAGAACAAGAATAGATTGACGAGTTTCAGAAGAAAGTTATCTGTTTCTGGCCATTTTGAGCCTGTAATCGAACCCACAATTGCTGATGCTCCAGATACTCAACTAGTCTCAAGAAGGCCAGTTTTATTGCCTCTTTAATCAGCAGAATAGTTTTCTGCTAACATAATTGCAAAAGGGTGATCAATTAGCCTTTTAAAATGATAAACTTGGATTAGCAAACACAACGTACCATTGGAACACATGACTGATGGTTGCTGATAATGGGTCTCTGTACGCCTATGTAGATATTCCATTAAAAATAGCCCTTTACAACATTAACAATGTCTACACTGTATTTCTGATGAATTTGATGTTCTTTTAATGGACAAAAAAATTGCTTTTCTTTCGAAAACAAGGAAATGTCTAAGTGACCCCAAACTTTTGAACGGTAGTATATATATATATATGTGTGTGTGTGTGTGTGTGTATGTGATGTGATGTGATGTATAGACATTATGGACTGTATTTGGATAGATTATATAGTATATCTGAAGAATACGTAGGATAGAATAGTATATGTACAGAAATAGTGAATAGGATGGCCTTGACTAGAATACAGTATATATATGAAATGGGTAAAACAGTATGTGAACATTATTAAAGTGACCAGTGTTCCATGTCTATGTACATAGGGCAGCAGCCTCTAACGTGCAGGTTTGAGTAGCTGGGCGGTAGCCAGCTAGTGACAATGACTAAGTTCAGGGCAGTGTACTGGGTGGAGGCCGGCTGGTGATGGCTATTTAACAGTCTGATGGCATTGAAATAGAAGCTGTTTTTCAGTCTCTCTGTCCCAGCTTTGATGCACCTGTACTGACCTCGCCTTCTGGATGATAACGGGGTGAACAGGCCGTGGCTCGGGTGGCTGAGGTCATTGATGATCTTCTTGGCCTTCCTATGACACCGGGTGCTGTAGATGTCCTGAAGGGCAGGCAGTGTGCTCCCGGTGATGCGTTGGGCTGACCGCACCATCCTTTGGAGAGTCCTGCGGTTGCGGATCATAGCTATCACCTGGATTCACTTGGTCAGTCTATGTCATGGAAAGAGCATAATGTTTTGCACACTAAGTGTATGTTGTTTCCTAGAGCACATAAAAATGACACAAACTATTCAAGCATATGTACTTTGGATGGTGCCCACATTGATCGTGTCCCTGCTTACAAATATCTGGGCATCTGGATAGATGACAATCTGTCTTTTAAAAGAAATATTGATGAGTTAGCTATACTGAAGAAGCTGAAAATAGAAATAGATCCTGACTCCTGCCTCTCGCTTAATACTCGAAAGGAGATAATTCAATCGACGTTCCTACCGGTCCTACACTATGGCAACATCTTGTTTATGAATGCAGCTGCCAATTCATTAAGGCCGTTAGATGCAGTTTACGATAGCGCACTTCGTTTTATTATGGGCGACAGGTTCAGTACACATCATTGCATTCTTTACCAGGCTGGCCCTCTTTGAAGTCATGTAGGTTGATTCATTGCTCTTTTTTTATTTATAAAGCTCTCTTACAAAAACTCCCTCTGTACCTAACACAATTAATAATTTTAGACGTACAAGTTACTATACCCGGTCACAGGGATGGCTAACTCTGGAAATCCCTTCGGTCACCTCAGAGTTAGGTAAATCAGCTTTTAGTTTCTTTGCACCCCATGTATGGAACAATCTAGCTACAGAGTTCCCTACAATGTGCTGGTGCCTCTCGGGCAGTTAAAAATGTTGAATGAGGACCTCTTTGCTGAGGAATGTGATTGTTTTTCTTGAGTGTGTAATTGTATATATTTGTATTATATAGTATTTTGTAAATTGTGTGTATGCAGGACTCCCTTGCGAAAGAGACCTTGGTCAATAAATAAATTGGAACATATCCATCCACCCTAAAGCAAAATTACAAGAGAAAAACACTAACTGGCATAGTTGGTGTAAGGTTTGTTAAAATGAGTCTTTAAGCCCAGTATATTTTAGCTTGGGCCTTAATGACCATGAACACTCTGTAGCCACATGGCTTCTACATTAAAGAACATTAGGCTGAACGAGTGGCCTGAACGCCGCTGGATCACTCAACCCCACGGGTAGTAGTGTTATGATGGTGGAGGGGCCGCACACAATTAAGTCTCTCAAAGTCTCAGTACTACTCACTGGGCATCTGACACACA